CAACAAGGCCTCTGAAATGAGGGCTCAGAATTCCCAGCAGATCGAGAGCGGAGAGGTGAAGAAAATCACGGACACGAAAACAACCAGAGGGCGTTCTGCCAGCAAGGCGTCCTCTACTATTGCTAAGAGAGCCCGTCGCCTAAGTCAAGGCATTGCGAACTTGGATAGGACAACTATGCCACAAAGTTCAGTTATCCTCAAGCGCGAAGAGATGGCTGCCAAGATCGACGGGGTTAGAGTCATTCTTATTGGAGACCTACATGATCTACCTTTGCTCGATTGGAGTGTCAAGAAATTCAATGTCGATGTGCGCGACTGGTCATCAACATTGAATGCCGATACAAACTTCGAAACGTTCTTGAATGTGTACAACTTCTCGAAGTCGGCCTGGGAGCCGTTGATTGAGCCATGGCAGCTGGGATTCCACATGGCCAAGGAGATCAACCCAGATGTTTTCTCTTTCGATGTGTATTCGCACAAGACAATGGAACTTACCGTAACATCCGCCACGATTGCACTCGCATCCAAATCCTTCCAGTTTCTTTCTACGGATCAGGATGTCCTTTCCAAGCCAAGAGGCGCCGATGCCCCATACCGAATTCGCAACTACACTGGATTTGACCTTAGAGTCTGGGCCGATGTCAGCGCAGGAGATGAAGGCCCAGCGGCGAAACTCACTGATGGCGAAGAATCCCCATGGCGATTTGAAGATTCCACCGCTGTCCGTGAAACGCTGACACCAGAGGGCCACGGCGGAGTGGTTGGTATCAAATTGGAAGGCAGTGGCTTCGATAGTATCAGCCGCATTCCTGTCGTGCGCGAGGGTGAGACTATCTACGCCCTGAAGCCGAAGCAAGAAAATGTTCTCCACCGGCTACTCGTGGAAGTCAAACTGGGGTCCGATAATGTCAAGTACATCACATTCCGCTCGCCGCTTCTTATCGAGAACAACACCCAAATTCCAGTAGAAATGGGCATTTTCAGCCCAGGAGACGGTCACTTGTTGAAGATTGAGAAGATTTTGCCTGGCGATGCACGACCGGCACCTGTTGGATCAGCATATCTTCATTCTATTGTTGTTCGTCCCGATCAGGGCTTTGGATATCATTGGTCAAATGAGCGACTGTTCTGGCAGGACCTCATCAAGCGACCCACACGCACTGTCAAGTGCGTTAGTGAAAGTGGACAGCAGTCTCCTCCTTTCTATTTCCAAGTCAATGCAACGTATGATAGCAAAGATTCGCTTACGAGCGTGTATCCCTACATGAGAATCCGAATCTTCGCTCCCGTGGAAATTCAAAACCTCTTGCCCTACGATTTCAAGTACCGCATCTACGACAAGAACACCAAGAAGGATTGGACGAACTTCCTAAGAAAAGGAGGCGTCAGCCCAGTCCACGTCGTGGAGCTGTCCCACTTGCTGTTGCTCAGCATTGATCTGGAAGACACAGTCTTCCGCCAGAGCGAGTTTGCCATCGTCAACGGTAATGCTCAGGACTACCGGAGAGAGCATACCTTGGCGCTTAAGGATGAGCGCGGTCTCCAACTGAAGTTACAACTTCATTACTTCAACGTCCCCAACAGCGGTGGTGCTTTCAAGGTCTCTGTATACAGTCCATACCTTGTCTTGAACAAGACTGGCCTTCCTATGGACATTCAAAGCAAAGCATTCCTTCAGTCTGCGAGAAATGCTGCTGGTCAAGGACTCAGAGCTGATCCAAGAGACGAGGGTCGTGCACTGCCCTACATGTACTCTTATGCGAACGAGGATCAACGAAACCGATCTATCATGAAAGTCAGCGATTCTGCATGGAGCAAGCCGCAGAGTTTCGAGGCTATTGGCAGTACCTTTGAGGTTATCTTCCCCGATCGCCACGGCAGATCTGAGTTCCATTCCGGAGTATCTGTTGCCGAAGGCGAGGGCAAGTACAAGTTGACTAAGGTGGTCACTCTTGCTCCGCGTTTCATCCTAAAGAGCAAGCTTGACGAAGAGCTTCTGGTTCGCGAACCAGGCTCGTCTAACGTACTCCAGGTTCAAAACGGGCAATTGGTACCACTTCATTTCCTTCGTCAAGTACAAGAGAAACAGCTGTGCCTCTGTTTCCCGGGTGTCAATAACCAATGGTCTTCTCCATTTAATATCGCAGATGTTGGAACTGTGCACGTTAAATTGGCCAAGGCGAATCAGCGGCAGAAACTGATCAAGGTTGATATCATCATGGAAGGTGCAACTCTTTTCTTGCACTTCAGCGTCGAGTCTCGCAATTGGCCGTTCTCTATGCGTAACGAAAGCGATATGGAGTTCATTTTCTACCAAGCCAATCCAAATGTGGAAGATGACGATGAAGACGACCAGACTAGCGGCTGGAGGCCAATTCGGTATCGAATTCCCCCGCGGAGTATCATGCCGTATGCATGGGACTACCCGGCGACAAAGAACAAGTCGCTCGTGTTGACATGCCAGAACAAAGAGCGCCATATCAAGCTTGCTGAGATAGGAAACCTGATCCCAATGCGGATTCCACCTTCGCAGCCTGGCGGACACCAGAAGATTATTGACATCACCATTGCTGCTGATGGCCCCACTCAGACTCTCGTTCTGTCTAATTTCAAAGCGTCGAAGAGTATGTACAAGCAGCAGAGAGGACAATCCTCCCAGACCGGCACGAACACTGGGTTTGAGGTCAAGGAAATGAATTCGGACGTCAACTTCAAGGCTCAACTTCGCCTAGGCGGCATTGGTATCTCATTGATCAACCAGAACCTGAAGGAGCTACTGTATCTCACATTCCGTGAGATTGAGATCAAGTTCAGGGAGTCAAGGTTGTACCAGACCCTGAACACTACGATTAAGTGGATCCAGATCGATAACCAACTTTACGGTGGCATTTTCCCCATATTACTCTACCCCAGTGTTGTTCCGAAGACTGGCAAGGAGATGGAAGCACACCCTATCTTCCATGCAATGGTTACACGGGTCAAGGACGACTCGTACGGTGTTCTTTATATTAAGTACGCGACTTTGCTATTGCAGCAAATGACACTTGAACTCGATGAGGACTTCGTCTTTGCCATGCTTGACTTTGTCAAGATTCCGGGCGCTTCATGGGCTGAAGAACAAGAGGGCAAACTGTGCGATGAAGATCTCAACATCCCGGAGCCACAACAGACAGATAATGGCCAGGATGTGTACTTCGAGCTCCTTCATCTCCAGCCCATGCAGGTGGATATTTCTTTCATGCGTACCGAGCGCGTCAATGTGGAAGATGCTATGCAGCCCTCCAATCCGTTGATGTTCTTTGTCAACGTCATGACAATGTCGATGGGTAATGTTAATGATGCACCTGTCCGACTCAACGCTCTGATGCTCGAGAATGCCCGTGTCTCTTTCCCCAGCCTGGTCGGCAATATCCGTGCACACTACACTCAAGAATTCCTGCGCCAAATCCATATTATTCTCGGTTCGGCCGACTTCTTGGGTAACCCTGTCGGTTTGTTCAACAATGTTAGCTCTGGTGTCGCCGCCATCTTCTATGAGCCATATCAGGGTCTGGTCATGACCGACCGCCCCCAAGAGCTGGGTATTGGTATCGCAAAGGGTGCCACAAGCTTCGTCAAGAAGTCCGTCTTCGGATTCTCGGACAGTATGGCCAAGCTCACCGGAAGTATGTCCAAAGGTCTCGCCGCCGCTACTCTTGATAAGGAATTCCAAACACAGCGTCGGATGTCCAAGGTGCGCAACCGCCCCAAGCATGCGCTGTATGGAATCACGGCTGGTGGCAATGCATTTGCAACTAGTCTAGCGAGCGGTATCGGTGGTTTGGCACGTCATCCACTGCAAGGTGCCGAGAAAGAGGGTATCCAAGGATTCTTCAAGGGTGTTGGAAAGGGCGTCCTTGGATTGGCTACCAAACCAGCAATCGGTGCATTCGATCTTGCTTCCAGTAAGTTGAACCATTTGCTCTCTGATGTTCACAACTAATAATTCCCTACTCTACTAGATCTGGCAGAAGGAGTTCGCAACACGACTACCGTTTTCGATGCCGAGGGTCTCGATCGTGTTCGGCTCACTCGATTCATTGGTACCGACGGCATTGTGCGCCCGTACTCGCAGCGCGAAGCTCTCGGACAGTTTTGGCTGAAGACCACTGACGATGGCAAATACTTCAATGAGGACTACATTGCCCATCTAGAGCTTCCTGGCCGAGATATGCTGGTCTTGTTGACGTACGCACGTATCATGCTAGTGCGCACAAAGAAGCTGTCTACCGAGTGGGATATCCGTCTCACGGATATCCAGACCATCTCTAAGGAGCGTACAGGAATGAGTATCACGCTCAAGGGTGGTGCCAACGGACCCTTCATTCCTGTCCAAGACGAAAGCTCACGGAACTGGCTGTATAGACAGATTGCTGTCGGTAAGTGGTTGCCCAGATTATGTCAAATAATACCATGTGCTAACTGAATCCCTTTTCCAGCGGTCAATGCTTTCAATGAGAAGTATAATGCCAGGGGATAGAGAGGGAGAGGCACTTCCCGGGGATTCTTAACGACGCCATGAGATGGACTGCTTTCATTTTTGGGACGGGGATTATCAAAATTCACAGAGCATATGAACGGTTAATTGCTCTCGGTTTCTCAGTTTGTTCCATTCACGTACATAAGTTGCCTAATTTTTGAGTTTTGGCCTGTTTTGATGGCCTTTTCATTGCTTTTCCTTCATGTATACAGCGCTGAATCAGTTTTCGTGCAATTCGACGATTTGTTTAATAGAGCTCAATTGGATAACTTTAGTATCTCAAATGAACTTGCTTTGCGATATATCTCTGAGTAATTTCATATCTGGAACAAAGGATTTCTCAATGCAACATTGGTATTACAAGGCTTCAGATTTCTCTAAGACATCGGAGCAAATCATATGTGCCTTATACCTGAACGCCAGATAACTCCAAGCAAAAGAAATCTGAGATGTCAACAAGCGAACCCCAGATAGATATGGATCAAGGAACAGCCCTGTCTGGCCCCATCCTTTGAGCTGTGTTCTTGATCGTATGAAGAAACATAGACGGAAAGCAATGCCGACCATAGCGATCCTCAGATATCTAGAACAGATAATCAGTCAATTGTTCTCAAAATTCAAAAAGAGGACCAAAAAGAACCAAAATAGCAGAAGAAAATCCACTCACCGTTTTCCCACCCTCATGCTCCGCAGTCCTAAACCCCAGCCAACGTCTGTACAAATCCTCCGCGCTATGCGTCGTGAACATGTACGAAAGCCGGTACGTAATATGATCAAAGATATGATCAAAATTCCAAATACTATCAGGACCCCCGTTGATATTCTCCGGTGGACCAGGGTTGTAGATGCGTGCCAGTTCTCTCGGCGTCCACTGTCCATCCGCATAGATAGGGTGGGGAACATGCACAGCCTTAAGGCCATGGAACAAAGCCCACGATGCACCTGTCATCTCCGATGCAAGGCCGAGGCCCTTCGTTGCCTGCGCGTGGTGGATCAGATCGAGCAGACGCTTGGAGTACCGCCCCATTGTGATGACCGCGGCGCGGCGCGGCGTGCCCTCGCCGTATCTGAAGTTCCAGATTTTGTCCGGGAATGTCCACTGTGTATCTTGTGGGTTGAAGGTTGGCAGGAATGTTATGAAGTCCGCTTCTTCGCCCACGCCCCAGGTGTAGTTGTCTTGATCTGGGTGTGGCACTGGCGGCTCGGGGCCCAGTGGCCTGATCCCTGTGCGAGATACTGGGCCCCAGATTGTCTGGTTTGACTTGTCAGATAGGCTTTCGTGCACCATTTGCGTGAATTGGCTCCAGTTGCCGTGTGCGCCGGGGGTGTAGAAGTAGGCGTTGCGTTCCCAGAGGTATTTGCGGGGTTGTTGGCGTGCGAATGAGACTGCCCGGTCTAGGAAATGGTAGATGTGTCCTGTGTGACGACCGTCCATTTCTAGTTGCCAATAATAGTCGAAGTGGGGATACAGCTGGGAGAATATCTGTAGAGGTTGGTGGTGTTGGAGTTGGGGACTGTAAGTTACTGTTAGTAAGAGTTGTCTTCGACACCAATGGAAAAGGGTTGGTTCACCTGTGTTCTTCAATCTTGGGATACCAAGCTTCCAGCATTTTGTTGTTGAAGAAAAGAGCCATATTCCGAAATTCTTCGGGTATGGAATTCTTGAGCCGGTTGATGGTCTTGATATCGGAAAATATGGGCATCTCGTTTTCCTTGACATGACACAGGAGATAGATCTGATATTCTCCACCAGAATGCAAGGAAAGTTCCATAATCAAAGCCCGAAGGTATTCGCGATGATGAGGCTTCCAGTCAAGCCCAATCCAAGCTCGAATCAGTACTGCCGAGCGAGGTTGAAATTGTTTCACCCCCGAAGCACCCCCAGGTGGCTTCCATAAGTTGTGAGGAATCTGAGGAAGATCGAAGGCTAGCGGGGTCTGGTTTGAAGTGTGGGCTGTCTCAGTTGACTCGTATCTGTCTGCATTTCTTTCCAGGCAGAGGGTTTGCAGCCTGTGCCAATCAATCTCGCACCACGGCACTGCGGGAGGGCGCGTGAAGCCTGGCACTTCGTCCTCGCCATCGCTATCATATCCATATAGCCCAAAGCGGGAGTACCTGTCTGTGCAAACGTTTCCATCTAGATCCAATACCTCGTACGATCCGAATCGTGGTGCTGGGAACCCGGCTTGTTGGCCCTTGTAGACTTGGATCATATCTTCTATAGACCTGCGGTTGAGATAACGATTCCTGGGTCCGAGGCAAGGTTGGAACTTTCCGTGGAACAGCTTCTTCCATTCTCGACTGTTGTATGCTGGGTACGGGTCGTAGATAAACGGGACTGGGTGAGAGGCGTTGGCAGACTCGATACTGGTTAGGGTTAAGGTACCACCGAGATAGAATTGCTTGTCTCTAATATAGGGATAATTTTTAGCACAGTCTTATATCAATATACCCATAACTTGGAATAGGTACAAACCTCCGATCATGTGCCATGCCCAACACATCTGGCTCAGGTGAGTCTTCGCTTGCTACCTTGTCCCCCATGCCGACAATCCCATGATATTGACCGGGCCGAAGGATCCCAGGGCGATGGAACGAAGCACAGACATTTTGGATAAGATTTATCTCTGAGTACCCAAAGAGATATGAGCTTGTCTGGATAACGGTGACCAGGCAGGCGAGATAGCCCAGCCAGCGCAAGCAGGTGTATTGGCGATCCCGTAGGGCGACGGACGGCCTGGTGTCAAATAGAGACGGCATACTGTTTCTTGCGAGGAATTTCATAGCGAGTGACAGTCACGTAACAAGGTGGATAATTGCATACTTTGGCTTTGAAAGCCACAAGATCTGCGTGGTGTGTGTGTTTGATAAATTGGAAAGCGAAGTGGAGAGATGAAACAATCAGCAGAGAATGAAAACGAGGGATTTATTGTATGAACAAGTCAAGGTTATGTGAGTGAAGAAGTGAAGCAAGAAGCAATCTGATTAACCGTAATATCTACGAGACAGAGTTTGGAGGCAGGCCTACGATGTCATTACTACGCGGTGTTGACTGCATCGACTAACACTTGGGTAATGCCTAGAATCCAACCTGATAGACATGACAGTACACCGTCTAAAGTTGTACGAGTGCTAAGATAGTTATATGTTGGATATTACCCGGGACTTTGGGGCATTCTGTCATTAATATACAAACTGCGCGTGCTCGTCGTACAACGTACCATGCCATGGGACATACGAGTACTTTCTAAAGGTTGGTAAATAGTATTAGATCGGATTTTCCTACTTACAGCTCTAGTGAACATATTCCATCAATGAAGGGGACCAAAGTAACAAAAGTAACTTCCAAATTTCTCTATTTGAGAAGCTAATCACCCTCATTTTCTGACTTGGCTACTCGTTGGACACATATCATGAAGCATAAGCAGCATTGTCCATTAGTTACTCATTTTCTTGTCATACTCGCTTCTTGTGGTTTATTAGAAAAGAGGCATACCAAAGCGTAATTACATAGCTATAGCTTTTAAACACAAAATGTATTTCATTCACACTGTCTATTCTTCCAAAAACAGGCTCCCAGCTACCCATACCCTCAAATGCAGAGAATTCCACGGTGTCTATATGAAGAGCAAATAAAAATATTGTCGGTATTTCATTTCCGCACTAAAGATAGACCAGACCACCCTATCAGAGAGCTCATGATGCAGGGAGACCGAGGAATATATACGAACCGCCATTAATCACATTGCTATTAGGAGTTGTTTGGCCAGAGAACCAATGAGATACCCCCCGCCAATCTAATGAAATCGAAAAATGGCAAATACCCAAGTTCCATCTACGCGAAGTAGCTCTTCCATAGAACACCTGATAAGTCTTCTAGCTGATCCGATGTGAAAGCCTATAATAATAATTGTTAGCCGTTGCTTTAAAAGAGGATTGGGGGTAGAATCATAAGCACGAACCTTTGCATCAATGTGCCAAGTATCTTGTCTAGTCTTCTTGAACTCGCTGATAATCGACTTCACGCTCGAGCCAACGATGCCAGGATCATTGGCCGCGCGAATACTGAGCGAAGTCAATGCCTCGGGCATCCAGTGAGGCGGAGGACTGTTGTAGGGGAAGGCCTGGATCAGAGCGCCAAGTCCCAGCACAGCGCCGTGGCGAACAATAATCAGGCGGTTATGCTCGGGGGTAGGGGTTCCAGCGCCAGATGACACAGCGGAGGAAGCAATTCCTGAGCGGAAGTTCTTAGGCTTCTTAGGGAGAGGGTTGTCTACCAGAAGCTTCGTGAAGCGTTCATGGAAGCGACTGACCATCTTTTCCCGCAGGAAGACGGGCGAGCATCGGACCATACCAGATAGTGTGGCCGAGGCACCGGCACGGACTTCATGCTGCGGGTCTTCAAGCATGGAGGCGATACACTCAAAGAGCTTGTCGCGGTCTGCGGGGTCGAGCAGAAACAGGCGGCGGAAGTAGATGATTTGGATGTTGATCATGATACGCAGGCGCTGGTGCCATGATGGGGATGTTTGTCCGATGCGGATGAGAGATTGGATAAATTCGGAGTTTTTCTCGGCTGGGTACGGGATGTTAGGGAGATGGCGGAAAACGTGGTATGCGAGGGACTGAAGCTCTGGGTCTTCCTTCACATCCATCATGTGCAGGAGCTGCGCGGTAAAGACCTCGGGGAAGAAGGGGACAAGCTGGGTACACTCATGAGAAGACAAAGTCGAGTCCAGCCAAAGGAGAACAGTTTTGCTACCCGAGGTATACGAGGAGGGTGTCTGTTGACCAGGAGTTCTGGCCTTCCGCCATTCCTCAATTTGACTAAAAACTCCACGAATCACCTTCGTGAAGTCCTCAGTGGGTGGATATGGGTATGCGCCAACAGAAGAGGAGGATTTCTGGGCCTCGAGAAGATGCTGAACATCAGGGTAGGACTCGTGGTACCTCGTGCGATAAATAGTTGCAAGGGTTTGACCCATTGCCTCGCGGACGCCCTTGTACGGGTGGTCCAAATGTCCAAGGAAATCTTCCACGATGGGCTTTTCAAGCTGGTAGTGCCAACCAGAATCGATGATACATTGATGCAAGAGGTTGATTTTTGAACTTTCCTTGAATGCTGCGTTGGTCGTCATATCAAGACGGAAGCTGGATAGCCAATCGACCAACGGCCAGGCACGGCGAGGATCCCGGCATTGAAGGATCATGTGAAGGAATGTTGTCCAGTAGCCAGAGTTCTCAGGAGTGAGTCCATCGGTGAAGATTTTTCGCACAATAGGGAATGCATACTCCCAGACCATGGTCCGCTTCTCCACACCTGTATCCGTCACAGAGGAGATCAAAGCCCCAAGTATTTCAGCCGTGGCCCGATGTTGGTGCTTATCACTGCCGTCTTCGAAGACTTCCTTGATCTCTTCTTGGATTTCTTCAAACGAGGCGGCTGTAAGCCCATCCCGGATCATGAGCTCGAATGCGTAGAGAAGCATCATGGCACAGGACATGCGGAACTTATCAGCAGATGGGTCCCGCGGCTCTTGCTTCAAGTACATGAAGAACTTGGCGAACCACTGGCGAGTGAACAACTTGCCCATCTTGGTGCGAACCTTCCATTCAACATCGTCATATTCGATGTCCCGTGCTACATTAGACTTGTAAGCCGGCATGGTCTTGCCCCACACAAGCCAGCCCGGGAAGTCGTGATCAACGTAGTACTCCGCTTCAGGCTTCGCAAAGCTCGAAAGATATTCTTGGGTGTATCCTTTCTCATAGGGTTTTGTTGCAACCTTGATCTTTGAGGGGAAACGCTGATGACCAAGAATGTAATTCTTGTACTCGTGAGTGCAGATGGCTCGTACATCAATCATAGTGAATAACGCAATGAGAGCCTGGGAGTACATGCCTCGCAAGCCAGGGTGGTCGTCAATAGACCCGAGGGTCATCAGGTCGATCAAGTTGTCGCTGGCGATATAGTCAAAGCGGAGACCCATAGTGATGACGATGGTCGCAGCACGACTGGCAATCTTCCAATGGGATACTCGTGCCAGGTTGACCAGCTCTTCGGCCAAGTCAGCTTTCTTTTCCTCGATAGCAACGCGCTTGCTGTTGACAACCGCGCGCTTTTTCTCGATCTGCCCGGTGACATCTTCAATAGGAGCAATTGCCTCCACAATTTCTTTATCTAGGATAGCCATTCGCTCCATCGCGCGACCATAATCCATTACCTGGAAGACTGCAGTAGAGCAAATCTTCTGGACGGAAGGCTTATCAACGGCGCTGGCATCGATAAACGTCCTGATCACGGCAGGCGCATACTTCCAATGCCGTCCAACAGTTTTGGCTATGCTACTCAGAAGCAGCGAGTAGAGCGCTCCCTTGATGCGTGCATGATCATTTTCCTTGACACCCCTTTGCAGAGCCGTGAGCAGAGGGGGGATGACGAGCAATCTACCGCCATAGACTGCCTTAAGTGCCGACTCGCCTGCATTTTGAGCGTTGCGGCGTGTTTCTGTGTAGACGGAGACGCAAGATTCAGCAATATCAAGGAGAAGAATCTCATCAAGCTTAGACCGAGGACGGGGAGAAGCGTTGTGTCGCAGGCGCTGAAGGTGATACACGTTGGCTCTGCGTACAAGCAGGGCTCTGGGGTAATCTTTTCGCATACCGCTCATCTTGTAAGGATGAATGTCTGCGGCTAAGAGGCGAGTAACTCGGTCGAGCACATGAGCAGACCTCTCAATGCCCACATCAACAAACCACGATCTGAAGGCAGAATACAAAGCCCCAAAGCAAGGAACGTCATCCTCTTGATTATCGCTCAAGAACCGGTGTACATCATGCAAGACCCAGCCAGTTCGCTCACGGAGTTCATGGATGGTAGTATATAACGGGTCTCCCTCCTTAAGGGCATATCCAGTGGGGTAGGTGAAAGCCTGTCTGATTATAGCATCATCAGAGCTGTCCAGGACAGCCTCGGTATCATTATCAACGTCATTGGAAACACCTGAATCATCCCCCATCTCGACATCCCCGGAGGTGCCATTTGAGGGTCCTTGTGTTGTGTTTGATGCGGCTTTGGGGTCAAAGAGGACAGAAACTCCAGACAAGACGAGTCGCAGGAGTACGAGGTTCCGAGTAACCTCATCTGACCAGTCCTTGCCGCTTCCATCACGTTTGACACTTGATGTCTCATGAGTCAGTGCGGATAGCGACTTCAAAGCCGTCTCTGTTTGGATCTTGAAGACATCGACAGCAAACTCAATTTCCTGACGCGTTGGCACATGCCAATTGATGTTGAGGTTGTTCACATCAGCTTGGTAACTCCAGAGTTTCGGCTCGATGCCGTTCGCTTTGACCGAAGGTTCATAAAGTGAGAAATCATTAGTGTAGGTACCAGTCAGGTTGAGCAAAAGGTGATGAATGAAGTTGGAAATATGAACTGTGGGAATTCCGCGGCAGTTCTGTTGCATGTATACTGCAATGTCGAACAGTTCTTGGCGGTGGGTGATGACGGCGCTGCCGACATGCACCACACACATGCTCAGCATACTGACATTCCAGACCAGACCTCGGTCACGAGGCAAAACATCAGTTCCTGTAGTTCGGGTTGATCCAGCGCCATTATCTTCGATCTCAGTGCGGATAGCTGCAGTCAAGACAGGGATGAAACGCTTGAGGGCCTTCTCGGGGTTAACCTTGCATAGGGCGTTGCAGATGAAAGCCATTGCATCACGAGCTTGGTGGATAACATGGTTGGATACAAAATCCACAATTTTCCCCAAAGCGATATCGTAATACTCCGGAGACAAAGAGGCGAGCAAAGGCATGAACGTGGCGGGAAGTGTGTTCACGATATTCTCTTCGGGTGAACCGTTTCGAACTCTGGAGACGTCTGGCAGATTTTCTAAGAGTGTGAAGACACGACCCAGGAAAGCTATCGTGAAGTCTCCGAAACCACATGTCGAAGAACGCAAGATCAATTCCTCGGTCTCATCATCCAGTTCTGTGTCATAACCAAGCTGTACATCGGACCCTTGCTCTTCCATCCTCTCCATTTCACCTGAGATCCATTGCATGGCAAGCATGTTGCAGTTGACGTCATCTCGCCCTTTGGTCAAGTCGACCATTGGAATATTGTAACAGGCTGATTGGATGAATGAGAGAGCATGAAGCGATTTTTCAAGATCATTCGCGTCAATTCCAGGTAGTGTCAGACCCAGCAAAGTTGTCATGTGACAGCGATAACCCTTGGTGCGCGAAATGATACGAGAGAGCGATGTCATAGCCCGAAGGGAGGATGCAGTCCGGTGCACTTCGACAAGACCTTGCAGCGCAGGATAAATTCTCTGCAAAGCACCGGGTATGATGAGATGCGGTTCTAAGTAGGCCAGGCCTTGCAAGGTCGACAGGGAGAAGGTCATTGCAGTACTGCTCTTAGCATATATGCCCATGAAGATTACGTCGCGAATGCACAAGACAAACCGCCGCTTCAGGGCCTCGTTCAACCGTCGCTCTGGTGGGACATCCATCTCACCGGATTGTTCGCGATTCCAACGCATGACGAAGAAATCGGTCAGGTAATAAACCAGCTGTGACAGGGTTTTGGTCCAATGGCCCGAGTTTGAAGGATGGAAGAACGTCTCAACAGCTTGGATAAGACCTTCCAGCTGCGTGAGAATTGAAACCTCGGAATCCACACAAGCGGGGGAAAGCGACAACACAATCCACCGCGCAATATGATGAGCAACCGGGTGTTTCCGCCCATCTCGATCAAGCATAATACCCAGACCAGATGAGATATCTACTAGGGCACTATACGGGGATGTGGATTGTCCGACGGGGATTTCCAACAACCTCAGTATCGCGGTGAAAATGAGAGCAGACTGTTCCTTTGTGAAAATACCATGCTCGGAGAAAGGAATGTGAGCGGCCGGCAGAGAATCTCGGGCCAATCGGGAAAGATAGTCCAGATATGTTGTGTCAAATGTTTTTGACCTACCGACCAATGACCACAAATGGAAATGTGTAGGTAGATAGCTCTGTGGTAGGAGATCCGGTCGCGAGTCGGGAGCCGGGGATGTCGGAAGCAGCAAATTAATGAGCCCGGCGACAACAAAGGCACCTTCTGAGAATGATGTGGTATAATGAGGCAAGAACTCTTCGAGCATAGCGGGAACTTCACACGGATCAATGAATAATTGAGCAAATGCGCAAAGCTTGGTCAAGGTCTTGACATTCCGCTTTAGGTTGGTGGAGTGAACAAGGCCAGACTCGGTGGGGAGGACAAAAGCCTTGAGCTCCTTGTATAGAGGCTTCCAATCTAACACGAGGTCTTTGACTGGTCTTAGATAATGCTTGCGCTTGGTGAGAAGCATGAACATGCTCGAGAATCGCTCAGCAACCGACGGGTCAATTCCAGGAGCAAGTGCAAGCTCAAAATACAATTTTACAAGGCTTATGCGCTGTGCCCGAGTAGGATCGAACTTGAGTGACAGCCAGCCGCGTAGCTCGCGTGTCCAGTGCACGGCTCCGGGATTGAAGTCGCCGGCCTCCACTGCAATATAGAGCTGATTCAAGATCTCTCGCAGATTTTGATTCCGCTCAGTTTCATCCTCGAGCTGGTATGGAAGATATTTGAAGTATGGATAGGTACGGGGTCGCACCCGGGCTATCGGTTCGCCTTCGCCATTCACGGCGACGGGATCACCACCGGGTGAGGTCGCCCGGGAGAGCTCTTGTGCATGATGGAAATTGTCGGATGTGAGAATCGCTTTGGGGCTGGAGGCTTCCATGGTCGGATGAGAGGTAGGGAATGGTCGACACGAGGTGGAGATGAGATGAGGGAGTAGCCGTTGCCGTCGGGTGAGCTCTGGCAGCAATACGTCAGCAACGTCGACGTTTCACGGGGGTATCTCTTTGCCCATGCAGTATCGATGACAGAGCAAGTTTCAAAGGAAAGCGTACTTCTAATGAAACTCTGAAGCTCCTACTCCGAAAAGCGCGGAATTTGGAACCGGAGATTGTAATTCACACAGCTTTGTTCGCATGAGGTACCTTTTTTTCTCGCCAGGCGAAGGGGAATATGATAGGCTCAGATGCGTAATTGAGCAGTTCAAGATTTCAGCCTGCTTTTCTTCTTTTCGTCTTGAAATGCCTAAATGTTGAAGGTCAAGAGTTCAAAGGGGAGATAAGTCCACGGGTCGAGGTTGTGATGACATAATTATACGTAACAACCTTAAAGCTTGGCCTCTGTAGAGTGAGCCGCGTGGAAAGATGTGTAGACTAAAGATATACAATAGCTCTAGAGGATTTGCTTTTGGTCGTCTTTTAGGAAAGATATATGTGAGATTCTGTTTCTTTTATTTCGCATCATTTTCCAATTTATAATCGTTCAGTTAAGTGGGCGACTGCGTGCCCAGGTGTTTTACCCCAACTTAGGCAGACAGCCTTACGCAAGCATAATATTGCGCAACAATTCAGAATGGCTGCCTTTTCTTTTGGGGGGTCCATTCACAGCGGTCTAGGTCATGTCATATCGATATACATAGTAGGTGACTCGGAACAATATCGAGCCGGGTCATCGCTAATTATTTTTTCCTCTTTCATGCTGGAGGCAGGAAAGAACCGAAAAGAACCCCCTGGATCAACGCGTAGGCCACCATGCTATACACAGCAGCTACAAGTGTCCGACTTTGCTTGGGTGAGCTCGAACTGAGATCTACAGCGCTGGTAACCAAATACCAGTACCACAAGGGATACCCCGACGAGATGCGGTTGATGATCTGGACATGATAACTGGTTAATGCCATGACAGCCAGCAAACCCTGGGGAACTGCCAGCCGAACGAGCATTGACCCCGGGCTCGTTGAGGAGGAGGAAGGACTTTGCAATGCCCACAAAGTGGATCGGCATAGAATGGCCAACATAGGCGCCGCCAGCAGGAAAAGAGGTATATTGGAGACGGTCCAATATCCCAAGAACCCAACATTCCTATTATAATCAGTAAGAGAGAAGACAATGGTATTCAGATGCAAATCAAAATGCTTACCAGTAATGGTTTTGAACCCAGCCGTAGACGCTAGGCAAACTCCACTCACACCATGGCCGAATATCGCCCTCGGACACACAGTACATGCGATAGGCCAGGATTTGAGGAATGACTAACCCAGATCCTACGATACAGCCACCAAAAATGATCACTGCAAGACGAAGAATGGTGTGGAGTGTAGGCCCTTTAGTCAAGATCTTCCAAGCCAAAACTGCCGCATCATAGGCAAATAGGAACCCGCTGAGAACCCCATTACTACGGACCATTGTGGCAGCCGCGAACAAAACCGCAGATGTGAGAACCCGAATATCTCGCAAACGCGTTACCCCATTGCGTTCGGCAATGAGAGATGATGAATAGAGGTAAAATCCAGCGAAGTTCAAAAAAGAGACTATCGACTCTCCATAGGGCGCGGACATAAAAGCGCCCGCTGGCGAAATTATGTGGAGAGCTGCAGATAGGAAGCAAATGAGATGTTGGGTGGCAGTCGCATGACCAAAGATATTGGCTGACAGACGATAGAGCGTCAACACCGACAAATAATGGGCAACGTGGGAGAGAACCACTCCCACCATTGCAGTGCTAGCAGGGCCAGCATCTCCCCCAGAGAGACGAATACCTATTCATGGCATTAGTCCGTGTTTAAAATGAGATACCCAATACGGGTAAAATAATAGAGGGGAATTATGTACCGGAAGCAAAGATAGATAGAAGCTTAGTGTAGCCCCAGCCAAAGGCCCATTCTTGCTCAAACAGATATCCCTTTTCGGCGATATGCAGGAAGTAGATGCTGTCCCATCTGGCAAATTTAAGGGGACCCGAGAGAGACTCGGAGGTAACCGTTGATGGGTCGGCAGCATATGAGATCAAGGAGGTGGAGGTATCATAGCCTGATCCTGGACAAGCGGCAACGACGATGTACAACAAGACCTTCCATGACCAAAAGGCAAGTGTCAAACTTCGAATTGGGTTGTCCAATCGTAATAATTTGGCAAACAATGGTGGTGGTCTTGTGGTAGGTTGGACCGGAGCCATGATAGCCCGTGTTTTTCCAGTGACTTCCAGGTGTGAATGAGACCTCGGAAAGTTTTCCAAGGTTCCTAATTAGGAATGTCTAATAAGATCGGGTTGACAAGCGATCTAGATGTCGGGATGGTTACGGAGTACCTCGCGACTGTTCCCGTTTTACAGTTTCTCGGTCTGCCGAGGTAAGCTAGGGAGGTGAAAGGCTTGCATTAAAATACATAATTAGTCATCACGGGACCGGGGGAGCGGGGCCGACCTCTGACCTTTCTTACGTCGGAGTGGCGATTCTAGACTTTTTAACAAAAGATATAGTATTATTGAAAAAGATGATTCTAAAGACTAGGAATTAACCTTGGAGCTTCAGCCCTATAATATCGTGTGCTATGTTGTACCATACATATAGCACAATTTGCCAAGGATTTCTTTTTTTTTTTTTTTTTGCCAAGGATTATTATTCCAAGACTTTTTGTGTGCCCAGCTCTCCTGAGGGCTTACAAGGTATACTTTTAGTAAGCGCTAATAATCAACTGGGGCAAACGCCTTTCGGCACATTCAATTTGTCCGACTTCAATAATATGTAATCAAAAATCCCTCTTATCCATAGGAAAATTCTGTTTTTGAACGTGACAATATCTAGAACTAAGACAAATACTGTATATGGGCTCATACCGAAACCGAAAGCAACCTCGGACTAATACTTGCCAAGACTAAAATCCTTGTCTGATTTTACTATGAATGATCGTCACGGAACTCGGATCTGGTCGGATTCCATATAATAACCGATCCCGCTGACAGGCATAAAGTATTTTATGCATTAAAAGCTATGTATATTATATTAAAAGCATTAAACTTATTATAATCTCATTAAAAAAACATGGAAACAAGCTGAAAATATATCTACCTTCCGATCAATTTTGTGTATCGGTTCCACCTACGCAGTACTGTCTTGTTTTTTTTTTTTTTTATATTACTATTCTCTTTATTTTTCTTTGCTTTTTTTTTTCTTTTTTTTCCCCTCATAGCTCTCTATAAGGCTGACCGCCTCATTCATATTAAGACCTTTATTGCTCTTGCACTAAAACATCTCTCTCTTTTCTTTCAATCTTTCAAAACTTCCCCCCTTGCTTCTTCTTTGTTCTACACATCTTGCAGCTCTTTACAATCTTTGACTTTGCATGTCCCTTTGAACCTATTTGCCGTGATATTAGGCTTCCCCACACATACTTCTAGGGCTGAATATCCCCCGCAGCTGACGCGTTTGAATACGGGCTATTCATGACTACAATCTGGTTTGGATGAAATCCCAAAATTTGGCTCTTCAACACCAATGTGGCTCCGCTAGGGCTCAAGAATGCTGTTGAATCTTGGCCTCACAGCGGACGCCGCAGCAGCCCATGCAAATGAACCTGGTCATCAATCAGAACCCCAGCCTTCTACGTGTTCTACCTACTCGCCTACCTTTTTACTGTCATCTTTACCATTATTACACACCTTCTACAGTTCTCCCAGGCTCTCTGATGGTTCTACTGATCGTACAGGGCTTGTATCAGCAATGATGAGTCCGATTGAGTCGGCCTCCGACTCGGGTGAAGCTTCCACCAAATCGGCTCCTGTTGTCGCCAGGCCCCGGGTCTCCCGTTCAACTACAGGTCGGAAGTCTCGACCCAAGACATCATATCAGTTCGCCCATCCCGCAACTCACGCTCACCACAAGCGGTTGAGACTTCGTCCTAAGCTCCTTCTACAGCTACAACAGGTGTCACAAGCCCCTCGGCCACTACCTGTGGTTGATATCTTGCCATCGACGTCTTACCGGCCACTATTCGCTCACAGGTTCCCGGCTATTTATCGGCCCAGAAATGGATTGGGTCCATATGACCTCATCGTGGTGTTGAGCGAACAATATGACCGGACGGTGGACAGCATTCCTGAAAAACGTGTCAGCTCGGAGGATGAAGACGAGGATCATCGTGAGGTAGTGGCCACGATCTGTCAAAAACATGAAGAAGATGCTCGATTGAAAGGAAAGGCGGACATATGTATGAACTTTGGGCCTGTCTGGGAAGCTTCGCCTCTCCCAAGTGGGTCTTACGAGTTTGTCGCTCAAACGGATAGCGGCGTGCAAATCGTGCGATGGGCTTTGCGTGGTGGGAGGAATCGACGGATGAGTGCGCCCATCGGGACACAATTGCGTGAGGATGGCAAACGCTTCACTTTCAGCGTCATCGATCCTACTACTCGCCGGCATCCCGTTCTTGCATCCATGACTCGAAATCAATTAGAAGTCAATGATGAATATTCCACGGCTGTTCGGTCTGGCACCGGTCCCACGACTCCAAGCTCAGGAATGTCAGTCGTGAGTGATGCCTCGGATGCAGAAATTCCCCTTGATGAGAGCTTAGTCACTCTTGATGATGGAATGCGAACTTTGATTATCATGACCGGCATCTGGGTCGCCTTTCGTGAGGGGTGGTCAGACAACTTCCGATACGGTGACCCAGTGTCTTCGTCCGGTGCAAAGTCGACCGTGTCTCCGACCTCTGTAAAATATGCATCTCCGACGACCGCCAAGAATGAAACTCATCCTTTCCCTTATATCGATGAAGGTGGTAAACGGTGCATGTCGTTTTCCACTGTACGCCGTTCCACCACCCCAGGCATGGATGGAAAACAATCCAGCAGTTTTTCCAAGCGCTCCAACTCCACCGGTGCTGCATTCATGGATCGAGCGAAACAACGATCCGCGTCTGGGCTTAGCACTCGACTGAACCGACATAGCATGTTCACCACCTCGGGCGAGAACGGTCGCGATATCGTTGTCTCTCGTCCTCCTTCTCCTCAACAATATTCCGCTGATATGGAGGATATATCCCGAATTGCTCAGTCTAAAGCAACAGAAAGGGAAAACGGCAAATCAAACACGGGGGTAGATCGAGGTCCTCCTGCCTCAAATTCCCGCATCGCACAGCATAACAGCACCCACAAAAAGAGGCCGGAGTCTTCACTCCCCGAAGCTCTCAACTCAACCCCCAACAAGGGCAAAATGCGCCACCGCCTCAGTACTTTCTTTGGCATTTTTCATCGAAAACACGATACTCATTGATCTTTCACCCCTACATCATGTCTGTGGCTAGTCCACGTGTGAGTGCCTTCACAGCACCACGTTTTGGGTCTCAAGTCTCATTGCATCTAGCATACAAGTTGGGCGTTCATACGTTACACTGCGATTCGTCCGGTACGAATCCTTGCTGATTTTCTTTTCTTCTACCCTCCTCTCTCTCTCTCTCTCTCTCTCTCTCTCTCTCTCTCTCTCTCTCTCTCGTTCCAACTAGCATTTCGCATCCTTTGCATTTGCGCATTCTTCCAGCCTTCTCTTTTGATACCTACTTCTTCTCACCATATCTTCATCTTCAAGTCCTGGAGGCTCAAACTCAAAATGTGTATGCTTGTATCTCACACATGTATATTGTTATCCATCTATCATCCATCACGCTACATATGAATAAAATACCCCATCACCCCCAGCCAATCCCAAAACCTCTTTGTTTTATAATGTCTTTCAATTATAGATTTAATCAAGGATCAAAAATTAGAGCAATATATAATTACGCACCTTTAACTGGACCAGTGAATCAAACCGCTTCAAGCTGCAATTCCCAAAAACCACACCCACAATCCATCACCCCTCAACCTAAAACAGCGCAGTCTTATTAATCGGTGCAGCCGTATAAAGCTGCTGCCCATTTTTCCGAAACCCGACAATAGCCCTCTGCCCCTCAAGCCCAATAACCCACTGCGCAAAACGGTCCGCCATTATCTCATTGCTCGCCCCGCGCCCAACAAGCATATGAGCCGGGTTAAGCAACGGATCCTCTGGTGCATCCGTCGCCGCCTTATAAACAATCGTCTGATTCTGCAACCCAGCATCGATGGACAAGAACGTCCCCCGATCCGTAATAGTATACTCATCCAACAAAATCGCCGCTGTCAGCGCCTGGATCGGGTACGAAATATACTGGTGGTACCAAGTGGAGTACGCTGTGGCCCAGGGCACTTGCCCGATTTCGATCCACAGCTGCGAGTCTTTAATGTTTGTGGCGGACTTGTCGTAGCGCGAGAGGAAGCGCACGGGCGGCGAGGAGGTGCCATTCTCGGCAGCTGAGAAGATCTGTGAGAACATCGTTTTGATGTCGGTGGTGTTGGAGAGATTGGCTGGGTTGGAGGGTGGGCCGGTTAGGAGGAAGTGGTCGCGCCAGGCGTACCAGGCTGGGGATTTGGCGATGGCCTGGGTTATGGCTATTTGCTCGGCGGCTGGGGCGTATGTTATGCCTATGTCGACGGTGTTGGATTTGAGGTATTTGATTGATTCTGTAGTATCACTTTTGTACCAGGCTACTTTGAAGGGGGTTGAGCCATTTTGGACGCTGGATCTGATGAAGGCGTCTGCGAGGACTAGTGCGTTTGTTAATATGTTTATGTCGGGATCTGTTACTTCAAAGTATGTATATATGTAGCTATAGGTATATATGTATGTGTAATGTGAGATGTAGCATGGTCTCTTTTGGTTAAACGTACCGCCAATCAGTCCGCTCTGTCCGGCACCACCGTTTCCAATGCGAAGCAAGACTTCGCTGGATGCGTTGTAGCCACCGCTGTAGATCGCAGCGGGGTCAACGGCGTGGGCGAAGGTGGCAAGGGCTAGGCCCTGCATCAGGGCAGTAAAAGAACGCATGGTCAAAGAGAACGAGCAGGAACAGATACATATATGGACCCAAGAAACGGCTGGGGCAATTGGCTTTTAAAGAGGGACAAGCATGAAGTCACCATGAAGGTATATTTTGTTAGCTTAGAACTTGCAGTAGACTATTTTGATCACTTGTGCGCCAGCCTATCCTCTCGCTGGATCAGACCGGAGACCCGGAATAGAGTGCATATGTATCTCCCAGGTCATGGGAGCTAGGTGCATAGAGGAGATCGAGGAGTGGGGGTCCATCCTGTGATTGGTGCTATTCTACACCCTTGTCTGCGATCTCGATCGAATTAGTGTTTGCCAAGGTAATGGCGGGATTATGACCTGTGTACTTCGCAGAAGTACGTACTCCGTACTCCCTACTCCGCACTAGGGTGTCAGATTCCAGGGGAGCATACTCCCGAAATAAGCAAAGTTTACTCCGTACCCATAATAGAGAAATCTTTGGGGCTGGATATGACATGTATACGGAGTACGGAATAGAGTAAATCAAAGAACTAAGAAATCAAGTTGTCCAGTGCCCCATGAAACTACCCGTGGACTATATACCTAGACACTAATACATATTCACCATAGAGAGCTCAGGGCTGTTGTAAAATATCAAGACGCCTTCGAACATTGCTTAGGAACCCCGGTCAAAATTAACCCAGCTAAAACCCCTATTCGACGTAAAAAACAGAATTCGAAGTTCAATTTGCATGATATTTATGGTATTCACATCCCTTATAAAGCTTCGCAGGTACATCCATGAATATCCTTCCAATTTTTTACCGCTCAAGAGTAGTCACAGCCTTAGGAACATAAGGCTCCTCCAAATACTTAATCTCCTCCGGGGACAGCTGGACCTTGATAGCGGCAACGGCCTCATCAATCCGCTTAACACTATGCAGTCCAACAATCGGGTTCTCGCCAGGGTGAGTCAAAGACCAGGCGATAGCAATCTGGGCCATGCTCACGCCCTTCTTATTAGCGAGTTCCTCGACCCGGTCAATAATAGCCTTATCGGCCTCCGACTCGCGACTACGGACAAACATCTTCAGCGCACCGTCGCTATTCTCACGCACCGTCTCGCGCGAGCCCCAGGGCCGCGCCAGCGCCCCACGGGCAATCGGTGACCACGGAATAATGCCGACTCCAGCGTCTCGGCAGTAGGGAATCATCTCGCGTTCTTCTTCGCGGAAGAGGAGGTTGTGGAAGTTTTGCATGCAGATGAATTTGTGCCAGCCGTTGCGCTCGGCGATGTTCTGCAGGGATTGGAATTCCCACGCCGCCATCTGATCATTCGTGGGTCAGTGTGGAGATCATGGATCTTAGGGAGAAAAGAAAGAAAAGAAAGGGAAATAGGAGTGGAAGGCAAGATGGACATACCGAGCTAGCACCAATGTACCGAACCTTTCCGCTCTCGACAACGTCGTTCAGTGCCTTCATGATCTCCTCGCGGGGAGTATCCCGGTCTAAACGGTGGATCTGTAACACATCGATGTATGTTCCCAGACGCTCCACGCTAGCATCGACGGCATCGAAGATATGCTTGCGCGACAAGCCAGTGCGGTTGACAAAGGGGCCGTCGTTTGTGGCAGACGCTGCGATGGGTGGGAAATTGCCCTCGTCGTCGACGCCGAAGAAACACTTGGTTAGAATTACCACACGGTTGCGGGGGATGTTGTACTTCTTCAGGGCTTTTCCGACGACTTCTTCGGATTTGCCGTGGGAATAGACGTCCGCCTATACATTCAATATTAGTGGGCTTATTCCGTGATTTTCTATAAAAAAAATTAAGATGTCTTAATTTACCGTGTCCCAAGTGTTGATGCCCTGCTTGTAGGCATGTTCAATCAGGGGCAGTGAGTCTTCCTCGTCCAGGACCCAGTCTTGCCATTGCTTGCTGCCATAGCCCATTGTCCCAAGGATGATCTTGGAGATCTTTAAACCCGAATTTCCAAGGCTTTTATTTATTTAATATTAGCATATTATTGGAATAATGTGTAGTGTACCGCAGGGGTCTGTTTGTACCGGACATATTCCATCTTATTGTTGGCCATTGTGAAAGTAGGCTTAATTATGAAGCTAGTGGGGCATGAAAAGAAGCAGAAGTGAACCTTGAATTTCTTGGAATCGAACAAATGAGTCAAAAGGAGCTCATTAATAATCCAGGTAGTATCTGCCGAAAACCACAAGCGTAGGGGCGTGTATAGCCGGTGAATTACCGGGAAGATATCCACCTTGTTGATCGGCCCAGAACATCGGATATCGAAACTACATAATATATGCATTGATTGGAACTACACAATATATTGGTATACAACCACATCCAGTTGAACCTGATATCTAGGTAATAATTCAGAAACGTAGCACGATCTCGGGTGGTATTTTGTTGAACTGCGTCTACAAAGACGTAGGTATCTTCGGTACATAGATCACTTAACCCGAAAACAAATTGGATTTCTCAAAACCTAGCTATGCAGAGTAACATTCCTCAAATCTTGGCTGGTTGCTCACCGGGATTTAGCCATGCACCCAGCGACTGTAACAAATGGCTTGTCACACGATGCAACACGTTGCTTGGTGGTGAAAATGTAAAGGCTTGGGAAGCTGGCTCCACATTCCTTTCTAGCTTTTGGACATCAGTGGGGGGATGGACCCAGGGGAACTGATTAGGTACGAATCCATCAATAGTCACACCATTGCCGAAACTTGCATATTTCTCATCGGGGTTCTCGTAGACTAGATCGAAGTCTTCCCAGCGGATAATTTCGGTCGCCGCATAGTAGTGAAGGACAGTTCCAGGCCAAGGAACAACAACCTTTCCATTGTCGTTCTTGTCTGTACCACCAAGAATAAGTCAATGCGCAAAGCCAAGAGAGGTATGGATCTACTTACACCATGATTTACACGATCCAGACCAGACCATGTGAGGCATTCTCGACTGGACCCATTGGTTAAATGCACGTTGAGCCCGCGGCGTCACAGATACGGATCGCAGTTTGTCTGTCTGGAGTCGGGATAAGACTCGAATCATATAGTCACTTGCCCTCTGGATTCCGGGGACAGCCGATCCATTCACAGGGCAGATTGGGGGGTTGAAGACTGTCCAAGAGACACACCGGTTAGCACAATAATCAATAAAAAAGCGTTCGGTTCTTACCAAAGAAGTTGGGGAACTCGGCAACCATCGCGGCCATATAGCTCTCGCAAGGTCCCTCACGATCCCAGTCTTCACTCAGCGATCGTCCAGCGCGACCAGTGATCGGGAACCGTGGCTGATATGGCTCAAATCCGGTGGCGTATACCAATATGTCACACTTGTACTCCCCACCCGATTCAGTGATAAGGCTATCCTCGGTCAGCCTATTGATTGAGTCATGCACATATATGGCGTTGGGCTTTTGCAACGCATCCAGATAGTGACCACCAGGGGTGAAGCGACGACAGCCAGCTTCAAATTCTGGCAGGAGTGCATTTAGAAGATCGGGACTTGTGATCTTGGCCTTCATGAATGAATGTGCCAATGACGTAAAATTGGCTTGAGATTGAGTCCCTCTCCAGAGTCCCGTGAAACTTGCAGCAAGTCTCTGCTCTAATGAGATACAAAATTCATAATAGCGCATAGGGCAAGCCAAGAGAGCTTGTTTCTGTTCAGTTGAGTCTAGATACGGATTAGCACTATCACTAGCCAGTTTCTTTTTGTGATAAGCCAAGACACTCACATTCGCGCTGAACTGTACCATCTTCAGCCGCTGCATGTGGAAGAATCCACGTTGGACCTCGAGCAATGTTGGTTATTTGCGAAACAACTTGAGAGCCCGGCCTAGTCAGCGTGGTGTATCTTCGAGATGACTTTGCGACTCACCTGGCTGCAAAGCTGCTACGCACTGAACGGCGCTTGCACCATTCCCAATCACAATCACCCGCTTGTCCTTGACAACCATGTCAGCTGGCCAGTTTGCAGTGTGCACTTGGACTCCTTGGAAAGCTTTTTGGCCCGCAATCTTGGGGAACTTGTAGTTGTTCAACCGCCCGACAGCATAGACAAAGACATCAGCAAAGACGGTATTTTCTTCGCCGGAAATTACGTCGTGGAGAACAACTTTCCATTTTGAAGATTCTTCGTTCCATTGAGCCAAGACACATTTGGTGTTGAAGGTCATGAAACGGCGCAGATTGTGCCTGTCGGCTACATCCTCCAAGTACCTGTGGATCTCAGGAGCTGGAGGATAAAGCGATGACCATGATGGATTGGGCGCCCAATTAAACTGGTAAGTGTGGGAAGGCACATCGCATGTACAGCTATGCTCTAATATTAGCGATCTAATTTATCTGATAACATAGAGAATACATACCCAGGATACCGATTTTCATACCATGTTCCTCCCAAGGAAGGATTCCTGTCGTAGATTTGGAGATCGACACCTGGTAATGACGTGCTTGCATCGTGTGCAAATTGGATTCCCGAAATGCTATGACGATCTGTCAGAACTTTGAAGTGATTATCATTCGAGTCCGGTATGCACGCACCCAGCACCGATCACCACAATCTTCAACGGACGCGCCACAAAGGCACTTGGAAAGAGATCCATTGCAGATGATGTGGAAGAAGGTTGTAAGAGAAAAAAAACCCAAGATCTCTGGGGCTGAGAAGAACTGGGGAGATAGGTCATATATGATAACGTGTCTCGTCTTCAACAGAACAACACGTGCTTCCTAAATAAAGGAACCACGGAGAAGATGTACATTTTTTTCTTTGTTTACGTATAGAAAGTTTAAGTGACCTACTCAACATTTTCTAACTGGCGTAGTCAAAATTTTCAGAATGTTCCTAGCTCCACGGTGAGACGGTGAGAGTCGAGAAGACAAAGGGGAGACAAGGAGAACGCTTCCAAGGTTTCTTTACAGGTAGCTAGATCTCAACGGAAAAATTTGGGGAAATACGATCCAGTGGGTCCAAGTTAAATCTCTTTGGTATTGGCGATAGCAATTAGAGACCCTGGAGGATATGTAAGGCTACATCTTACAGATCGCTTTGATAGCTGAATTGGGAAGTCGGCAGGGTACCAAGTCGCCGGGGGCGCCCGTCACCTGCATATTACAGTAATAGGTGATTGTTCACTAGTTAAAATCGATGTATCTATGGTGGCAATATTGGGTACAGGTACAAAATTCGAGTACGGAGTAGTCGTGGCGAGGCGGAAGCAATTGTAGCCAAGTACTCTATAGGGAAAAGTGCTTATCAGCTTTATTAAAAAAATAATTAACTAGTTTATGTGGCGGTCCTTGAATAATCGCCAAATGTTCCCGAAGTCTTAAAAAGAAGCAAAAAACGGGCTATTGAAAAAGCAAGTATATTATGCCAAGAAAGGCACTAAAAGGGGAACGTCAAAAGTGCATACCTATGCGGAGTATTAAAAATTGGTTTGTTGCTAGAGTTAAGAGCTATGGGAGTGATATAAATGGATAACAACCTCGGAATTAATGAAAAAGGGTAGAAATGAGTTATGGGATCGTCATTAATGCCTTTGATATTGTGAGACGGAAGAGTTTAGCCAGCCAATCTTGAATTGACAATGAATCTGCACTGTTGTGCCGGCGAGGTGCTATAAGACGGAAATGATGACAGGGAAAAAGGGCTCATAACCTATCAAGAGAGGGAGAAAGAGAACATCAAGTAGCAAACAGAATAACAGAAAACCGACGATATCAAGATGTCTCATTTCATTCACATAGTTGCTTCTATACATTAATCTCTTACCATCTCTCCAGCCATCTCTGACATAGCTGAGACGTTCAGTATTCTCTTCACTTAATCTCTCTCTACCTTCGTACGCAATACCAAACATGCTAATCACTGATTACTTCTGCAGTATGTCAACTCATCACCTACTACATGCCAACAAAAAGATCTAACAGAACCAGATAGCCTTCTCAGCCCTGAATGGGATCCAATCGAGTTCGAACCTGTGGGAGAGCGGCTCGAAATCCTGCGCCAGCCACTCGAATGCATTCGAGCCATATGTCTGGCCCCCCGTGAGTTCAATATTCCAACCAGCTGGACCTTTTTTCTGTCCACATCTGAGGAAAACATGACAGCAGTGAGGCTTCATTGTCAGCCAACCTACGAACACGAAACCACTGTTCTTGAAAATGGTTCCAAAGCCAACATTGTGTTCCAAAAAGATCGACCTTGGTCCCACCCAATGGGCAATTGACCTTTGTCCTGAGCGTGAACCCGGGGTTTACGGTGGGGGATATCCACAATATCATCGTTGCGAATAATCAGCACAAATATGAGATTGACGATGATGGTTGGAATGGCCGAACCTGGGTTTACGATCAAATTAATCTATTCAATCAACATGGTATCTTCGCCGACCAGGACGAAGTCGCACTGGTGAACGATGGAATCCAGAAAAGATGGCCAGGGGAGTTTCCCGACCCGCTCCAGATGGGGACTTACTATGGGTGAAATCAAATGTATCAGACCAGGATACTTCTTTCATGCAGGTCCCGTAGCCTTTAATCCACTGCGGAGTATTTTTTAGATGATCATGGGGATTCCATTTTCTAGAACCTGGTAGGAAAATGAATGGCTCTTACAAGAATAGTCAGCCTTATACGGTCTCATGTACTTTGTAGTCTTTTAACAGTATTTTTGCAAAATATGTTTAGATATGTTCTCGGATATTCTCTCCCATTTTCACTTTTGTAGTAGAAAGATGAAAAAGCGGTAAAAATTATGTATCACTTTATGAATTGACCTCGGGGAGTTTCTTTGTTTACTTAGGTTCGAGGCTTGGCTTCAAGGCTAGATGCCTATCATTTGCACTGATAAATTTTCCTACGGGATACCTTTGACCTAAATGGGAGGATTCTTTAACAATAGCAGATCACTGTACATTAAAGCAGTAAATGGCATAAGCCGTAAGATTTTTCTATGTTATACATACAAAGTAGGGACTCCATAATCACGTGTGTCCACAATTTCTATATTTAGTCATTACGTCATATATTGAAATCCTGAAGCGGCAAAATTAAAGCGAATACGATGCTTTACAGGCCCTACACATGTACTCGTCATGGAGAACACACAGAACGCGATCAGATCACGAAAATCTCATCGTAAATCTCGTTCAGGATGTGGAAACTGTAAAAGACGGCGAATCAAAGTGAGTGTTTCGAAATCGTCCCTGAGTCACGTCGTCTTTCACAGGCTACTCCTGGTATCATAAAGATAAGGTTATAAAGGAGAGGATTATTCATTTCAGGGTCCTGGATACTTTCTACTCATTATTTTGTTGTGGGGGCTGATCAGTCTGGATAGAGTGAAAGATTTGATGAGAATCTACTAATAGTCTACAGTGTGACGAAAAGAAGCCAACATGCTCCAGATGCACCCATCATGCTATCAAGTGCGACTTCATCTCGGCGGCAGCTATATCGCCAGCTTTATCCTCTTTAGCACCATCCCCATCCAGACCTTCGAAGGCACAATTTCGATTCAAGCCTTCTAAATACCAGGGTGAAACAGACCAGCCATCTTCACGGACAGTCTCGACCGAAGTCCAACGCAACAACATCAGTGCCCTACCACAGAGCCAGGATACCCTCTCATTCGCCGATCTACGGCTCTTCCACCACTTTGTCACAGAGACATACCGCACCCTAACAGACGAAACAACCGACCACAATCGAGTTTGGCAAACCCACCTTCCACAGTGGGGATTCTCCTCGCCATCCATCTTCCACCTTATATTAGCACTAGCAGCCTTGCATCTGGGCCATCTCCACCCCGAGAAACGAGACCAGTATGTGATACAGGCAGATGACCACTTTACGTTTGGCATTCGATCTGTGTCAGCCATTCTATCGAATCTTGATTCGGAGAACTGTCAATCGATCTACATGTCGACAGTGCTGATATGTTTTGTTTATTTCGCACACGGTCCAAAACCTGGTGAATACCTTGTTTTCAGTGAGACAGGGAAGGCTGAATGGCTGGTTCTTATGAGAGGGGTGAGATCGATTTTGATGTCTAGCCATGACAAAATCTTTACCGGAGTCTTACAGAGTTACGCTGATCCTGCTATTCGGGGCGTCAGCCCCTTGTTACAAGATGAGCTCCGGAAAAATCAGTCTCGTATTAAAGAGGTTCAACATTTTATCGAAGCGCAAGCTAGAGGGAGTTCCACGTGTCAGATCTACGCTGGTGCATTTGAAAACTTGCTCGAAATGTTTGAGAAAGCGTACCAGTATCGAAGCGCTGGGAAGGACGATGTTAGCTTGATGCCCTTTGTCATTGGATGGATATATAGGCGGCCTGAGGAGTTCATCGGTCTTCTTGAGGAAAAGGAGCCACTTTCATTGATTATCCTCGCTTATTGGTGTATTCTTTTGAAGTTCATGCGATCCTCATGGCTTATGATCGCTTGGGATCGGCATGTCATCTCAGGAATTCGGGAGTCTCTAGGAGTCGGATTCCACCAATGGATTGAGTGGCCTGTGGGTGTTATTTGCGATCGATATACGGAGCAGATATGTGGAGGAACTAGATAATACATATAACCTTCGCATCGGCTAGCGCTAAAGGAGAGGTAAATGAAGGGTGTCTGTGCGATAGGACTTCAAGATCGCTTCTCACCTTCCCCTTTCTTTGCCGTCCCTTTTCATTATTGGTGAATATAATCTGTTTCTCTCCAGTTGTGGAGACACGGGTCAAGTGGATGATATTCCTTTCCCCAGTGTCTTCCCACCCGAGGTATCAAGCCAAATTCAGTAGACCTAGACGTCGTTAATAATTTAAGTAATGTGTGATATCGAATGATATTCTGTTACCAGTTTAGATATATACAACATATTTACGATTGTTTCTGCTCTTCATCGGGCTTTTCTCGGTGGGATAGAGTGGGTTGTCGATCTCAATTACGGCAATCTCACTCTTTTATTCCCCGAGTATCCCGAGTACCCCAAGGTCTAATACTACCAAATTGTCAAATCCTACAAAGTACCTAGAGCCGTCATCCATGTAGTTTTCGGAAATTCTGGATGCCTTTGAACCATGGATTACTTTGGCAGTCGGCCTTGGTCTGGACTCTGGCATTTTCAGGTTCCAAGATTCCATTGTTGATCGTCAAATTTTACTTTTATGCTTATTCAAGTTTGACATGCATATATCTATCTACATATGGACATATGTACATGTATATCTATATAATCTGTACTCTGTGGACCTATTTCTGATCCACAGTCGGGTAATCTGTATAATGGAAGGTCTTGTCCTCGAATGGTCCATAGAACCGAGTTCGGTCATATGGAGCCATGGGGAGCCTTTCCTTCAGTCTGTGCACCAGATCCGGGTTGCTAGTAAAGTATCGACCATACAACAGAGCATCGTATTTGCCTGATTCCACCACTCCCCAGGAGTTTTGATCATCCCAGCCACCAGCGGAGAAGAACGGTGTGGAGCCAAAAATCTGGCGGAAACGATCAAGGGTCACATCCAGCAGACCCCAGCTCTCAAGGAACTTATCCTTCTCTTCGATGCCGAAAATTTGTTCATAACGCTGGATAAGTTAGCAGTACACCATTAGATAAGTAACAACGAAAACATACCGGCTCAATAAAGCTGACATACGATAGCGACGGGAGGGTCTTCTTCAGACCCTCACACAGGTGAGTCCAAGTCTCAACTCGCTGTTCTCCGCGCGCTTGATTGAACATACCAAATGGCGACAATCTGATAGCGAGATTATGCTCACCAATGGTCTTGGCCAACTGTTCCATCAGTTCAAACACAAACTGGCAGCGCTTCTCCGGAGTACCACCGTAAGCATCCTCACGCTTGTTGATGTTGGAGCTCAAAAATTGCTCCGGCAGGTAGCCATTTCCGCTATGGATCTCGACGCCATCGAACCCAATATCCATAGCAGTCTTAGCGGCAATGCAATAGTCGTCGATAGTTTGTTTGATGTGTCCCACTGTCATTTCGATAGGCGGGTGATTGGCGTAGGGCACGGGCTCTGTGGAGCCGACGGGTGGATGCGAATAACATTCCGTCGCGGAATCCCACACAGACGCCGAGGGGCAGACTGCAGGCGATCCAGTCATCTGAGGGATCGTCGCACGGCCTGCATGCCACAGCTGGCAGAAAATAATGCCACCCTTTGCGTGAACAGCATTCACGACTCGTTTCCAGCCCGCGGCTTGTTCGGAGTTGAACAGGCCGGGTACTCCGGGCATTCCATTGCTCTAAAAAAAGGAAATTAAAGTTTGAATAATTATCATTATGCAATTCCCAGGGAGCCAACGGACTATCTTAACTTGGACTGACAGAGTGCCTGTCTGCCACCTAACTGGGTTCGATGCTTACCTCGAGTGATGGTGGAATTCCTTCTGAGATTATCAAGCCACCTTTGGTAGCACGCTGGGAATAATACTCCACAACTGCATCTCCAGGTACCCAAATCCGATTGGGATGATCCGGAGTGCTCGTGGGATTCAATGGCTCTCCGCGGTTGCGGGTCAGAGGTGCATGGACGACACGATGTTCGAGGGTAATGTTGCCATTTGAAATAGTCAAGGGTTTGAAGAGACCGGAGTCTTTGCCCTTCAAGTAGCAGATGGTCATATTTCTTTTTTTTTTTTTTCTTTTCTATGCCGCTTTACTATTGAATGGATTATTGAGGATAAAGGGGATTATAGAAAGGAAAAAGAAGAAACACACACACACACACAAACCCCTTTTTGGGCAGTGTCGATCATTTACTAAGACATTGTTGCTGTCAAAAATATCATATTGCCTCGGCTAGTCAATAGTCAATATAGGGTTTAATGAAGACCCATTTATTCTGGTTGATAAAACAACGGCGTTGGTGGCGAAATGTAAATTTCGGATTGGACAAATACGAGACACTAGAATCGATACGATTTGCCCTGCTGAATCCTGGTGGAGTATAAACGTAGGTCTAGTGTTCTCTAGCGTTGTTTTCATGGATCGGAATAAAAATCGCTGACCATTCATAAAATTCCGGCGGAAGCTATCCGGAGGTCAACACTAAAAAGAGCCTGGTGGAGTCCCGTCTAACGCAGTCCCTTAGTCAATCATCGCCGTCATGGATCCCGCGCCACTAGGTATTACATAGTACATTAATAGGTAGTGGTTCGCTAGCTTTCAAGTCCCCACAGAAGATCATCTTGTCTATCCTCATTTTTGACGATGTGAAGTTCTTTAACTAGTCAAATTCCCCACTACTTTACAATATTGTAGGCGGGGGAACTTCAACTTCAAGCCCATCATGACTGCTGAGGGTCCAACAGATGATGCCTTGCATACTATCAATCTCGTCACACAATATATCTGTATTCCAATCGTGACTATCTTTGTGGCGTTGCGATTCTATACCCGGTTTCGATTCAAGCAATCTCAAGGAGTTGAAGATCGTGAGTTTATCCCTTGCACATATACACTTTTGGGGAATTTTGCTAATCATTCTCTAGTTGCCTGTCTGATTTCTTGGGTAAGTTGAACAAGTGAAATTATCTTTGTTAACCAAATCTAACTTTATGCAGCTCTTATTTATGGGATATTGTGGAATCTCCATTGTCCGTAGGTGCTACGGATACTTCCCACGTCTAAACAACTACATACTTACATATGAATCCTAACAGTCGGTCACAATGGCGGAGGATACTACTTTAACGAGCTCAGCCCCAATAAGCAAATATCATTCAGAAAGTTCTGCTATATTGCGACCATTCTCTACTGTCCTATGGCGCTCTTCGTCAAAATCGCCCTCCTATCGATTCTCACACGCATCTTCGCCCCCTACCGCGGCAAAGTCTGGTTCATCTATATCTTCCTCGGCTGCTTATGCTGCTACTACACCGTCGCTCTGGTTGTCAAGATCTGCATGTGTAAACCCATTCCCAAGTACTGGCTCGGTGATGAGGTAGAGGGAAGCTGTCTGGACCAGAATGCTGCTCTCATCGCCGACTCCGTGATTAGTGTCGTCAGTGACCTCATTATCCTCCTTATCCCATTGCCATTGACATGGTCCTTGCAAATGTCGCGCAATCGAAAGCTGCGCGTGATAGGTATACTTGGCGCTGGTGGACTGGCCACCGCATTCAGTCTTTACCGCCTGGTCATCGTCGTGAAAGGCTCAAGGGATGAGGGCATCATGTTCGTTTCTGTCATCTTATCTGGGTATGTCATGCCCCCTCTTCTCCTTGTTAATCTTTCTCTTTTTCTAACGTCCAGTAGCAATGCAGAGGGAGGTGTTGGATTGATCTGTGCCTGTCTACCTGTCCTCAATGTTATGTTGGCCTATTATATGAAGAACTACGGGTCGCAGAAATATTACGAGGACGGCGGCTCTACCCATCCGTTGAGTGATAGAAAGTCAGCCCCGGCTTCGAATGTTGCGACTGACTGGGACAAGGCGACAAACTTTGGTGACCAGAGTCACCTGATTTCATTTGCTGGTCCCCCGGAGACTGGCAAGTCCAGCATTCACACCCAAGACGGCATCAGGAAGACGGTGGATGTATCACAGACCGTCGAGACATCTTAAGGGGAGGTGTTATTGTCAAATTTTTCATTGTTATATACCCAGCATCATTAATTACCATAATGAATTTCTTTTCTGTCTTTCTTTCTTCCCTTTCTTTTTCATGCTCTTATACTTTTATGGGTGTACGTGCAGCTCAGGTAATTTGATCCTCTTTGTTCGCATGTATGCCCTTTGTACTCACAGATCAAACAATGGTCTTGACCACATCCCTTTTCCTCTTTGTCCGAGGACATCTTCGCCAATTGAGCATATTGATATAAATACTCCAATACCCTCATCTACTCGGATCTATCACCCAGTACTTTAGAATCGCCAACACCATGCCTCAAGTATTCTCATCCTGGCAGGAAAAGCTCCAGCACGAGTGCAGCAGCTTCAGGGACAACTTGGATACCCAAGCCCATATTCTCCGGCGCGACCCAGATGGTCGAGGGAAAGAGCGCCATGTGGGTGTCTCTCGGGCGGTAGTAAAACTGTCCGCTCAGGCGGATCGAATCATAGACATTGCACTCCGTATGGTTGCTGAGGCTCCAGACAGCGATATCATTCGTCGCAATACTACCTTTTGGTGCCGTGAAGAGAACGGTCGCTATAAGTTCGAGAATGTGTTCTTTAGCATGGAGCACGACTTGATTCATGTGGTATTAGATCTGAAGAAGGCGCCGTGTCATTGCAAATGTAATGATATGGGTGGACGTCTTGACAGAATCGCAAGGAAGGTTGCATTCAACCTCAACGTTTAGATGGTTATGTATTGAATCGTTTGCTGCAGAGTGTATTTTTTTCCTGGCTTTTAAACCTAAAAATGTAGTAAGCTGTGTAGACAAACAGCTCTGGTGTGGTTATCCCCGGGGCCAGATGTTTATGTATAGTCAACTTCGGCGTCGGGTATTGTCCCCATCATGATCGGGCTCTGCCTGTTTTATTGGCTACTAATTAACTAGTTAATTGTAGAACGTATGGATAAAGACAACAAAAAGAATATAATGTATTAGGCAAAAAAGAAATCTCTCCCTCGGGGAATCGAACCCCGGTCTCCCGCGCTTATCGGTATTAATGACAAGCGGAAATCATCACCACTAGACCAAGGAAGAAGGTGACCAAGTTACTGCTCGGCCATTGGACTGGTTGATGTGAGAGAGCCACTATCTTCATATCATAACCAGATTTTGTCAAAGCATACACATTTGAACTCGCCTATACAGCCTTGGAATATTCAGGCAAAGCTTTTGTACATTGTATTCATTTTCCAAATTCATTTAAATTTAGTGCAAATGTTTTTATTTTAATGAGATATAGTTGCATTGCTATTCCCTAAGTAAGACTTTTGGAAAAGTGCGGGCAAATCGCAGCGATATATATCTATCTAAGTAATATATAAAATCCTAACAACTTCCTTCATATTGAACCAATGATGATCCCTTAGGATCTCCTAAAGCAATGAATGTCATAGCGACATATACACCCCAACAAAAAAGAGCATCTTCATCTAAGAGATGGATTTGGGTCAAACAACCCCGAGTTATACCACAACCCATCCAATCCCGTATCAAACCCAAGAGACCACGATCCATCAATAAATGGCCATTGAAACATATCAGTTTCAAAGTCGTGATGACCACCAAGCGCAGAATTATCTCTAGCCAGAAAATTAGGTACGCCACCAAGACCAGGTGACGATGAACTTTCTCCACGGGCATGAGAGCTGTGGGTATCACGGGATTCAGAGGCTCGTGCCCTAGTCGCATACGCGTCCCTACTTGGGCGAGATCGGATGTCACCATATTCATCTAGGGTACCTGCAAGGGCGAATCTCCTAGGACTGTGCATCCCAGATCCAGAGTGGGCTTGGTTGCTCTTGACTATCTCGTAGAATCGGTTTGCGTCTTGGACCGTTCGCCACTGGTTATTGTTAGCTGCGATGTCTGGTGAGAGGTATTTGGAAACACTCACCCAGCTACGACCAACGGGCCAGAGTTTGCTTAGTCGCTCAAGGTAAATAAGATTTCGGCCCTTTTCTTCTTCAGCCCGTTTGAGGCCACCCGGATATCGCTGTGGGGCAATTGTCCCGTACATGTTGATATGAGCAGCGACAAAGACGCTGAAGCCAGAATATGGTGACATGATAGATGCACCGGAGGCATCCAGTGCATTGAGGATACCTCCAATATTCTGAGCAGCTTCAAATAGCTGTTTGATTGTATCGGGTTCGCATTGCGCGTCATCATTTGTGTCGTGGAAAACGTCGGAATGGGGCTTGAGGTTGGATAAGAAGCAGTCCCGGTGAAGAAAAAGAATGCTGAAGGAAATGGAGTTAGACTCGTTGCTTAGAATGCGTTAGATAGAAAAAAAGTACCTCATGCAATAAACCAAATTGATGTACGCAAACAGCTCCCCGTACCCGAGCGCCACGTGCGACTGAACGCTGGTAGCTGGGAAACGAACCGTTACATCCTGAAGAAACCTCCACTCATCCAGTTCATCCTTGAGGACCTGCCAAGTCAAGAGGAGCGGGGATGTAGTCGAGTCATCTGAAGACAAAGAAGCCAGTGCTCGTCGATGTTCGTTCGCAAATCTTAGAATTCGTACGAATATGTCAAATCCTCGAGTCACAATTGTGAGGCCATGCTCGATCGTAAGATCCTTCGCTAGCAAACAGTCTTTATTCATGTCAGCAGGCATCAACCTGCTGGCCGGGGTATGGTTAAATGTGAAGTCCCGATCACTGATCGGGAGAGGAACTGAGATCTGGGAGAACGATAGCGCAAAGTGCTGGCGGGCTCCGGAGCTCAGCTCACAGTCTTGCGCAAAGCAGCACCAGTAGGTTCGGACCAGCTGTTCGTATTGTGTTTGAGATCCATGGAACTCTTGAGGGTTGTGCTCCATGCTATCATCTGCCATCTTTAGAAGGGATTGAATCATATATGTTGCCATGCCTGATGCTTGTCATTAGCTAGTGATCTACGATTATTTGGGGATTCGATACATACCGCTATACATCCAAGCTTGATATGGTCGCCCAGTGCCCCACTCATAAAATGAGAGCATCACAAGGGACTGGGCAAGATAAAGTGAGGGCGCTTCAAGCACGCGCTGGGCAATATTTTTGCGTGCATAGTTGGCATATGTTTCTTCTTCTTCGAGTTCATCGCTGTTCATAAACCGCACGCACAAAGAAAGGACCGAGGCCACAAAGACGGAGTCCACTGAGTGAACATTGGATGATATGTCGGATATTAAAGAGGGGTAATGAAGAAAATTGGTAATTGGGAACTTTTTTCTGTAGGTTTCCACTGCACTGATGACGGTTGCTGGTGACAGCGCTGCTATAGGGTCCTTGAATGGGTCTTGAGCCACGGGGTCATTATCCGTGGTGCTTCTTTCTGCATCTCCAATCCCTGGCAATAAGGCGGATGATGCCTTTCGTTTTCTTGGAGTCCTGGATGATACAATATTCCCCCGAGCCTTCTGTTTTGAGGCGCGGGGATCTGTCAAATTACATCCTTGGTTTTTGGTCTTCAAGCAACGTTGACAGGGTGGTTGCCCTTCATGGACACATTTGACTTTTGCTTGCCTGAATAGATGATAAGAAAAGATGATACGCCTGATAGTTACGGTGAAAACTTACCGACAAGCGTCACACGATATTGACAGCCTCATCGAGTGTACATATGGGGAAGAGTCAAGTGGGCCGTGGCAAAAAAAAAAGAAGTGGCTGTCAAGTATCGTGGGGCATGTTTAGACAAACCAAGCCATCGGATCAACGTAGGAGCGCAATTGTACTAATTCAATCATTTATGTTGATTAATCGAACAGTTGGACACACGTTTGAGGAAGCAAGAGTTAGACGGATAGCTTAGTATCCGAATATGGTTAGTGCGATCAGCTGACTTGATTTGATCTATATAAAAAAATCTTGATATAAATTTTGATTTATTGTTATAATTATATTAATATTGGGTGCCTCCATAATGACAATGGACTGCTGGCAACAGTCAATGAACATCTAATCACTTAAAATATTGGTTGCCACTGTCCACTGTTCCACCCACGCATTGAACTTATCAATTTCCAGTTCATCTGTGGCCCAGGACGTCACAAGCCGAATCACGGAGTTTCCATCGTCAAGCTGCTCCCAAACATAGAATCGAAATCTGTCCTGCAGTCTCCGAAGTAATTCTTGAGGAAGAACAACAAACACTTGGTTGGTCTCCGTCTCCGCAGCCAACTTATAACCTAGCTTCTCGAAGCTGGTTGAGATCTTCTGGGCCATCTCATTGGCATGTGTGGCCAGTGCGAAGAACAAGTCTGATCGGAAAAGTTCCATGAACTGAACCCCAAGAATACGGCCCTTGGCCAGCAAAGCGCCATGCTGTTTGAGGTGGAAAACGAAACCATTGGCTAGCTCCTTCTTGACGACGATCGCTTCTCCCATCAGAGCACCGGCTTTGGTGCCACCGATCCAGAAGATATCGGTCATGTCAAAGATCTCCCGTAGAGTAAGATCATTCTTTCTTGAGCAAATTGCTGTGCCGATTCGTGCTCCGTCCATGAAAAGGAGGAGATTTGATTGTTTGCAGATAGCGGAGAGACTGGTCAGCTCGCGTTTCGTGTAGACAGTGCCAGTCTCCGAGGCATTAGAGATATAAAGTAGCCGGGGTTTGGCCATATGAGGGAAGAATTGATTTTGCTGGAGCGCCTTTTGGAGATTGGTTGGGGTCATCTTGCCGTCGACTGCAGGCACGAGGATAAGTTTGTGGCCGGTTGCCTCGATCGCACCTGCCTCTTTGCAGGCGATGTGACCCGAGTCCAGAGTAATCACAGCCTCATAGGGCCTTAAACAGCTGGCGATTGAAATGAGGTTTGCAGAGGTTCCGCTGGGAACGAAGAAGATATCCGCCTCATCCTCGTCGCAACCAATCTTGTTTCGGATCAATTGCCGGGCACAAATGCTGTATTCATCATTTCCATAGGTGACTTGCTGTGTGGAGTTTGTTCGCAAAAGAGCTTCAAGGATTTGTGGGTGAGCTCCCTCGCTGTAATCATCCATAAGGCTGTATGGAGGGCACGCCTCATCTTGGCATAAGCTTGTTGAGGGCATAGTGGGTATCAATTGTCTATGAAATCGGTTGAACACAACAAACAAGTCAATTCCAAGGTTGAACTTTGAAGAAACAGCTGATAAAAAAAGGCCAAAGAATTATTTGAACCAGCCCGACATATACATGACGGAAAAGACTCTTCGGGAATAATTTTCTCGGGAATAAATGTGGCAATATTCCCGAGATTGGTCAGTATCGGGAATCGCAGGGCATTTCCAGTTATTATCAAGTAAATTTGTGGGCCGGAACATGGGGTACACGGCTTCGTCAATTTGGAGTAAATCAGGTCTCGGAGATATTTTAAAGATGTCTCGTGTGACGTGTGACGTCCTTCGAATTGAGGCATCTGTGTGTTGGCCCAGATCAGTGTCTCTGATCTACACCAGAGCTCCGGGCTCCGGACACTCTGGAATCATGAAGGTCAAAAGAAACATAATGGTCACTTAAGATGCCCCTCACGAGATACCCCTCATGAGGGGGTATTTCCTATCTTTGGATGTGTATCACCTTCCAAGGTTGCAATCAGCTTCGGCGATTGTTATCAGAGTTGCCTGCCTCATTGGAACGACTGCATCAAGTCCGAGTACAAAGTACACCGCTATTGCGGTCAGATGTAGTTCTTCCCAATGCTAAACACGTATAGGGTCGCGTGGTTGATGCTTGCATGAAGGCTTGCTGTCGGCCATAAGCGAAAGGGAGAAGGAAAAAAGATTCGGAAAAAATTAGAAGCAAGAAGATCTCGGGATTAAATCAGTAGGCAAGGGGAGGATTAAATAATAAACAACACTAGCGTATGGGTTGGCAAATCAGATCAGCCCCCCATACTCGGAGGTTGCCGGCGGGTGAATATGAGTAAGGTATCAATACTGTTGACGAGTCGAGCAACTTCCACTTAGTGTAGTACATGACGACCATGGAGAAGCCGACCTCATGCCGATTCTATCGGCTCACAAATGCACTTTACAAAGCAAAACATCGCCTATAAGGAGCAAGGGCATGGGCCTAATGGGCTGCACCTTGTCATACGCCTTGGGATTTCTTTCGGCCCCTTTGCCACAGATCATACCCAAAACATTTGCCTTTTCACATACCAGAACTGAATTACAGTTGGGTTTAGGTGTAAAAAAATCGCGGCATATCGCGAAAGCCAAAAAAAAAAAAAAACAACTCTATATGGTCAGGTAGTCGATGAAACCAGTAACCAGTACTATATACACATTGGACTAGATTCCACCAAAGCCCCGAAAATTGATGTACAAAACCACCCCGCAAATAATGCAAATAGCGTTCGATGCTTTTGAGAAAAGCCAAATAAACTTAATCCTGATGTGACGAGGCGAGATGCGCCCGCTCGCCTGGAAACCCATCTTCCGTGCGAACACGCTGGTAGAGCTGGACCCGCCAGCCACGGATGACCAGATAGCTTGCCATAACAATGGCAAACAGACAAAGAAGCAAAACAAAAGAGAAGATACCGCTAATGTTGCGGATGGCATCGTATGTATGCTTGAGGACTTGGATGGTTTTCTGGGTTTGGGTATCGACTGCATCCGATGACGTGCGATTAGACGCAGCAACCACCTTGTCTCCTGCTGCGCTCTTACTTGCTTGGTAGATAATCGATGGGTCAGCCGGAGTGGGTGTGTCTGATTTCCCTCTGTACCCGACAGACTTCCAGTCCGGGTATTTGCTTCGGTGCATTTCGGATCTGCCTAGAACGGTGCCATTGACATCTACTGCTTCGGCAGATACCCAGTCCAGATATCCGCGGGCAATATACATGGTTTCGAAATCGGATCGGGGGGTCTTGCCAATAAGGACAGGGGCATCGAATTCGGAGGCTTGCGCGTAGAAATTCCACTCTGCGACATCAGTCGCGCCGTTCCAGCTGACCCAGAACGTAGTCACCATGTTGGTTTCATCAGTGCCGTAGACCGAGGCCACCACGTCTGGTGGGGTCGAGGGGCGACCGATGAAATCGAATTTGTACCCGCGGTAGGATGAATAACGCGAAGAGGTGAAGTTGGCGGTCATCAATAGTTCTCCATCGGCGGCATGTTCGGAAATATAGCCCTCTTTGCTCCAGCAGGTGAACACATTGTCATTTGGAAGCAGCTGGGTATTGCCGCGGAGTCTCGAGAGCTGGTGATCGGGACGGTTATAGCGCCGAATGGCTTTAGCGGTCATAGGCCTCGCGCCGGTATCTAACTCGACAAATAGGGATGATGACATATTTTCCTCGTTGAATTCTTCATCCGAGGCGTTGTTCAAAAACGAAATAATATGATGCGTCCCGTTCGACTCCACGAATTTCGCGTCATGCTGCTTCGAAAAGGTGAAATCTTGCTCGAAATCACTATATTTTCCACCCAGTCGCCACATGATATTTCCATCTATGCAGGAGATGAGATAGATAGTGTTCGTAAACCGCGATGAGATCAAGAAATCCCCAATTTCATTCTTGTCAACTGAGTTGATATGCACATAATCCCAGCCAGGAAGTCCCTCTGCTGGAGAATAGCGGCTATAATGGACAGTCTCGGGCAAAGGAATGTGGTCAAAAGAGTCCCACCACTGAATTACCTCGGCAGTGTTCATATCGATCTCAGCATACCCGCCGGTCTCAAGCCAAGTAGGCTCTTTCGGACGACCAAATTCCTCTAGGGTAATCTCATGAGAAAGATAGAGCGTGACCAGCGCAGTCTTACCATCCTCCAGGATATTGAACTCGTGGATGTCAAAAACACCGAGATCTGCCCGGAGAGGAAGCTTTCGTTGGACTTTGTAATCATTGGTCAAGACCAGCCCATACCCGGTGTCCACTTTGCTATCCCACGAATGTTGCAAGACCATCGAAAGATGTGGGTCAGGGCCCAGACTGTTGACGACTTTGAAATCGAAGACGTTCCGGTTGTCGAACTGTTGCGAGCCAGTCCAGATCAGGCGCTATTGTACCGAAATATGGTCAGCCGTCGGCATCTGTATCACGGGGGATTGGTGTAGACGCACTCCTTCGCCATCGTAGATATGCGGGCCGATCTGATATTGCTCGTACAAGCTCGACGGTGGATCGGGGCCCATGTGTAGGTAGGGAGCGACGAACCAGTAACCGGAACTGATACGCTCGCGATTCCGGTAGTGGACATTGAATTTCACTGCCCGAATATCCGGGAGCTGGATAAAACACGGTGTTAGCGGGTATTCAACAATCTATGAGAGATGGGATGTGGGAGACGAACCGTGACGAATGACATAAGATCATCGCTGCTATATTGCGCCAGCGCGGTTTGGCATAGCCATAACAGCAATGAAATGCTCAGAAACAGCATTCTTTAAAGAGCGCGGTTGGTTTAGGGAAGTCATGAAGAAGAGAAAAGGAAAGGGGACCATTGTTTAACTGAGGTCTAGACAAGGCAAGATGTGTGCGGATCAAAGGAGGAGGCACTGAGTCCCATGGCCAATGGCAGGGGCTGCAGGGCCAAGCAAAGGCGTTATAATTGCTATAATTGGACCCTCTCTGACGCAGCGAAGGGGTGAAACGTACAAAGTAAAAAGAAAATGTGGTGTTTCTTCCCGTCAGGATCCACGATCATCTTCATGTGGAGCAAAACCCATGAGGCCTCGTCAGCACTTCTTGGTTGTAGCGTGGCCTTCTATATTCCGTACTGCAACCAAGTTGTCGGTCTTAAGATTCCCATTTCTTAGAGTTCCTAATTGTGCCAAACAAGCATAATTCTCTGAATCCTTGGTATGCCCAGATGAAACTGTCTACATACTTCCAAGGTTGAAACTTCTCACTGGCTTGGCACACTTTCCCAACGGGAGGATCTGCATTTTCCAAGGGTTTACCGCCTTGAATACTGCCATACTGATTTCTATACAAAGTAGACGCTGCATACCATATTAATCGATGAGGCAGTACGGAGTATGGAGTACAACGGAGTGACTGTCCTGATGTGCTGACAATTCTATACCCCCACAGCTGCTTTATAATCGATGTGAATAGAAAAATGGCACAAATCATATCTTTTTTTTATATACAGCAGGTTCACCCAACCCGAATATTATCCAGAGCAGGTAGGGAACCAAACTATCTCATATCTAATAAACACTGGGTAGCGAGCAGTGAGCCGCTTAAGGAAAAACATACACCCCAGAATGCATGCCATGCAAATCGCTCCAAGGATCAAAAAGGAAAACAAAATACAAGAACCACCCACTATCGTCAACAGCGACTCACTCATCAGGATCACGATAATTCCAAAGTTTTTTCCGCTCCGCAACCCACCAAAGGCCTACCTTTTCAGCCTTCTGAGCCCAATCAAAAGCCTCAGAGCCATGCTTGGAATGGACCTCCGCAGCGAGTGACCCCATGGTCCAGCCTGTGACAGGCTCAAGCTCGTACGGGTCCTTGTTTAGGTCCGTGAACCGGTACTCAAAGTCATTGTTCAATGGCAGGTTGAGGCGCCAGGGCACAGCAGCGGAGCCAACACTCAACATTGAGCCACCGGCATTAATAACGCCCATGTTCCAGGCTTCACGGCCATTGTGCGAGGTGCGGTATGGCCGGATGAGGGACTGGCCCTCGTACTCATTCATCAGATCCAGGGCGATTTCTGTGTCATCTGCATTGAGAGAGTTGGTGTTCACGAGGAGATCAAGGATCGTGGGGAGGATGGATACGGCGCTTCCGTTGACATTAAGGTGCATGCGGGGTAGTAAGGGGTGGTGGAATACTAGAGGTACGCGAAAGTTGCTGATGTGTGGGTTGTGATAGGTTCCTGTGACGGGGCAGTCTTCTCCAAATGCTTGGCCGCTGTTTCGTAGGTTAGATATCAGGTTTATTAGCCACTTGTGGGAAATGCGACGTACTGGTCTCCTACGAAGACTGTCAAAGTCTCGTTGGCAATGCCGGCTTCTCCAATCATCTTCATTAATTCGCCAAGCCATTCGTCGACGAAGCGGTTTGCGTTGAGGAAGTGATCCATGAGTTCGTGTTGTGATTTATGGAGATCACCGAAATATTCTTCTCGTTCCCAGCCTTCGGGTGTACCCCAAGGGTGGTGAGTGGTGCTGGTGAAATGTGAAAGAAAGAGTCTTTTGTTCTGACGAAGCGTTTCGTCGATCATGTCTTTGATGTAGGGGCGGGCCTCAGTTTCTGCATAACTGTGCCAAGTTAGTATTTAAACACGAGGAACAGCTGCAGGGCATTCTGCTCGACAACATACCCGAAATAGTTGATCTTTTCCATGTCCTCATGGAAGTATTTCGACTCCTCCATATCGATGTCTTCCGAGTACAATGCCTGACTAAAACCAAGCAGATCCATAAGCTTAGTCTGAGCCTGGAACTCCCCAGTGACAGACTGAGCATAGATGGTTTGCCACTCTCGTTCCAGGTGACTGTTGGTGGAATTCCCAGGGGCAGAAGAATTTTTGCGCTGGTTAAATAGATCCATGATGTGCATCAGACATGGCTGGTATGGAATGATATCATTTTCATGCATAAAGTCCACCGGGAGCGGTCCAAGACCACAGTAGTTAACAAGACGCGATTTAGCAGAGAGAGAACTTCCTGATAGTATCCCGTCGAAGCTGAGACCACCTAGTCCGGGATTCGTCGAGTTAACTGAGGACCCGAAGCCGGATTGCTCCCCTGTAAGCATCTCTGCCACGGGGGTTAGCTGAGACAGTTTGTCATGTAAATCGGCTTCATCGTCCTCTCCATATATTTCATATGATTCACGGATTTGGTCGTACAAGCGCGAGTCGTTTTTGAGGGGGAACAGGTCCTTTCTGCCGCTTTCCAAGAACACGAAGACAATGTGGTTGATCGGGATGGCATGGTCCTTCAGAGCCTCCTGCAGAGGACCAAGTGGTTCCAGGTCAAGGTTGCTTATTCTCATGGGATCTTGAACGGGGTTATAGAAGTAGTGCCGCGGTTCAACTGTCTTGTTCTTTTCATCGAATTTTTCCCCGTCTCTCTTGGACACGCTTTCAACGGTCGAATTAGACGCTTCCAAGATAATTCCAGTCTTGTCTGCATCGGGATTCACAATCCATCTCTCAAACGCAGCAGGAAGAGGGCCTCGCGCCCAGGCTGGCTTATTATTTCCGTAGGCAGTGTTACCCGAGTCGTCCAAGGTCGGCGCCCACCCCTTATAATGGCCATTTGCAGGCTCCCGATATCCCTCCGCCAGCAATTCAGGCAGTGGAAATGTTTTGATTGTCATCCGACGAGCCCGGGAGTGTTCACCGAGCATGGTGAAGGGCAGAGCTCCCGTCATATGATTGTATGGAATTGATGGTCGGATTAACCAGAGTCCGATCGTTATTCCAGTCCCCACGAGAGTCCAAAACCGAGATCTATTCGAAACTAGATTTTTCAGATCTGAGGGGCCTGGTAACATGCCGAAAGTCTTGGCATCTCTAAGTTTGGAGAGAGAGCATAGCCAACGGGTCATGAGATTCCAGATCCCCTGAGCCATAAGCCAGGAAGCCACCGATATCACTGCCGTGGTGGCAGCCATAGGCACCAGTCCACTCAATATCAACTTCATTCCCTGCCGACTGGTGCCCACGGACCTCGCCGCATCCCATCGAATTTCGCTGCCGGTCTGAGAATAGAAACTAACTTGTGACGAGGTTGCTAACAAATCAACACATCTGAGGATAAAGGTCAATATAGTTGCCCAGCACATTTAGGGAAAGTTGAACCAACGCGATAATTCCTGAACCGATAACGGCGGCCACTGACCACCGACCGGAGGTTGTATATAAGAGAATCCATACTGCAACGAATAGAAGGATCTCCTGAATAAAGAAAGTTGGAAAATAGAGTGCCAAAAGGTATAGAGGAAGAGATCGATGTTGGTATATGTGAAGCAACTTGGAGCAGAGACCTGAAAGCACCAAAACAGACAAAATCAATCGCTGCGGATGGTGAAAACGAGTGACAATCATAATGGCCTAGCGCAAAAAAGTGGCCAACATGAGGAAATCTTTCGACACGGACTGTTTTCCAATCCGTTTATACTGTACAATATTAGGGGGGGGGGGAAAGAAAGGGAGAAGAGGAAATTATGGAAAGAAAATTGACTGCTCGCGTGCTCCACAACAGCATACTCTCGGAGTTGCGCTATAGCGTCCATTGGATTATAAAATTGTCAAATCGTCGGATCGTGCGGGTGGTGCATTAACTGTGGACCAAGACAAGGTGGCGCCCGACTTGACTCAGGGGTCATTGCTCAGCCCTGGGGTCCACGGGGTGATGTTTCGGTGTTTCAGTGTTTTAATGTACTTTGTACATTCTTTTTTTCTATCATGATCGGCGTTCCGGGATCATTCAGCCTTAAGAGGTCATGTATTGTCTTGAACTTGCAAATTCAACCTGTTCCATATATCCATTTCATATGGAACGGATGTGGGCCGGTGGCTGCGTATCGGAGAGAGCTAAACGAAGAGCCCCGTGGTACTCCGTACTCCGTCGACAATGTGGTTCAGGGGGGGGAACGGGCCCTGCCGGAAGTGCATATTGGTTGAAAATGCTGGAGGTGGCATTGTTAGCTCGAGCGCTAAGGTTGTATTAACGAACAAGACTTGAAGGAATGAGAGAGGAAGTCTTGGCTGATGCGTTTTCCAAAGTTGGGTGTTGCCTGTTCAGCCCTTAACTCGGATGGCGGCAAGCGACGGAAGGCAGGTGTGCACATACAACGCACACCTCGGCATGACTTACATATTGGAAGATAGTCATTGGAAGAAAATTACTGGCATAAAAGCCATAAAAGCCACAAAAGCCATAAAATTGGATAAATTTTTTTCTTTTCGGAATTCGGATATGAACTCTGTGGGGGGTGTTGCTAGCTAACTATTTCATTATCAATACGGAATACTCAGTATGCCCCCTTTCTCACCACGCATTACTTTTGCAAATTTCTCAGATCAAGTACTGTCTTCAGATCTTCATATTGAAGCTCACGTTCCTTGGACCAAGCTAGGAGACCGGCTGTCTTGACCACATTCTTGATCTGGCGACCGTTTAATTGCAACTCGGTTACTTGATCAAGTTGCTCATCTGTAAAGCCATTAATGCTCGATGAGCGGCTTAGGAACTGTTTCCAAACCTGGCGCCTAGATTCCGCATCGAGTTCCTTGTAGCTGAGGGAAAGGTGGACCCGAGACTCGAAGGCAGGATCGATATTCTGTGTACGGTTGGTGGTCAAGAAGATAATACCCTAAATATAAAGATAGAAGATCAGCAACACGTCCTTTTTGCGTATCTTTTCGCCATATCTTCTGGCATTGATAATTTCGAGATCGAAGCTTACCTCGTAGTATTCAAGCATTCTCAGGAAGATTGAGACGAGTTCATTGCGATCAAGATTGGTTGAATCACGGGTTTCCATGAAGACATCAGCCTCGTCAAGCAATAGAAGAGCACCCCACCTGGGAATCATCCGCAGGATGTCTTTCAACTTGTTTTCAAACACTCTAGCGTCAATTCCAAGATCGCCCGCGCTCATGACATAAAGAGGCACCCTCATGACCTCAGCAACGCTCTCCGCAGTAAGGGTCTTTCCAACCCCCGGGGGACCGCTGAGCTGCATAATGAATCCCCGACCTTTTCCCTGAACGACATCGTCAAATGTATCCACTTTTTTGGATTGAGCCTTGGCAGCGGCCAAGATCACGTCCTTGAGCCCCTGTTGTTCCTGTGGTAGGACGAGTGACTCAAAGGCCTGCTCATCCCACTCAATGTCCTCCAAACAATCCACGTGAAACGAACGCCAGTTCTTGTCATTCAGGGAATATCCATAGAGCATTGGAGTTGCCATGAGGCGCTGCGCATCATCTAGTCCTCCATCAATCTCCCTATGAATGCTGATTGAGCCGGCCATGGACCCAAAAAGCTTGTATGCCTCGGTGTCAATGATGACGCGATTCTTGACATGGTATTTGGTGTCCCCTTTGGTATTTGTGCTGGCCGAACCCTCTTCATAGGATTTGAAATGGTACCCTTTGTACTCTTCCCACTTCTTGCCCCGTGCAATCAACAGGTCTTGGACGACCTCTTTTTCTGGGTGATATTTGAGTGGGAAGATTGGCAATGAAGTGATTGGTATAGTGCCCGAAAATTTGGGTATATCAAACCCCCTGTGAGAGTACCCGAACTTGCTTCCGTTGAAACCAACATATTCGACTTCGAAATACGTATATTCCGGTGGCTCATATTCTTCCGATGCTTGCGTGAGCGAATACGCGCGTTGTGGTCCCTCAATAGAGGAAAGGATCACATCTTGAGGTTCCAGGATGGTCCAAGCCAAGTCGTGAGTGATGACCCCTTTGGAAACCAGGTCCTTCTTGCGGCCAATTATATCCCTGAGCTCCTCATCCATGATGCAGTAGAACAGATCCACGTGGGCCTTGGTTGTTGGATCCCGCTCTTCATCTCGCAATTTGACGATTGTTTCCCATCGATGAACAAAAGGTCGGAAAGGCAATGTGAACTCGAGGCGCTCCAAGGTCGGTGTGACACCAGGATAATTGTTCAGGGCCTTTTTCAAGAATTCCTTGAGACGCTCGCTTTGCACTACAATGGAATGGATCGACAAGCTTCTGCGTCCGTCATAGCACTTCTGTTTTCTCACGAGAAGCGCATATTGTGCCGACTCTTCATCCTCGACGGGATCAGGCAAGTTCAGGGGTACTTCTTTGGTCCATGACCGTTCGTCATATGCATCGGGATTTGTTTGGTAGAGGGTGCGAAAATCACAAAGGGTGCCCACAGGCTCATAGTGGAAATCCTTGGCCTCGGGTTCTGTGGTACTACCATCGGTAGCTTTCATCATTAGCCTGAATGATAGTCAAATATTGGAAGAACCATGTACTTACCAACTCCGTCTGAGATGTCGATTGTCATGATGGGTGTCAATAGAGAATTGAAGGAGAAAGGAAGTTTTCAGTGAGAGAGGGCAACTTAAGTATCCAGAGAAGGAAGGTTAGAGAGAAGCTTCCAAGGTTTCATTACTTTATTACATAGTGACCCTTATATAATGTCATATATGAGCCATGTCTTATGTTACTATTACACCTTCAGTTGTGTTTATACAAAAGGGTTAAATATTAAGTACTCCTTGGTGAATGACTTAGTTGGGTAGACTTACTGTATATAAAAAAACGAATGTAAAATATATGTACTTTGTATATATACTCCATAATTAATACACAAAGCCTCTACTCTGATTGGATCTATATATACAAAGTACAGCATTTTGGTCTTTGAATGATCTGCTTAATGTACATTGCGGATCCCCCGATCCACACATCATGCCATACGATATTTATTTATGAAGGGGGGTTCTTCCCCCCTTAAGAAAGAGAATCTTTATTATGTTAATGTGAATACTCATCAATTCATAAAATGCACTGTCCACTGTCGCTATCTAGAGAAGTTCTATATATCACTAATGTTATTCTACATGGGCCCTTCGGCCGAAAAATTCAAACTCCGAAAAAACCCCGCTAACTCATTCCGTTTGGAAAGCTGTCAAACGAGCCCTGATAACCTCCTCCGAATCCTCAGTGTCCAGCTCACTGAGCACACCTGATCCAACATCATAAATCAAGCCATGAAGCTGGAGTCCTCGCTCCTGAATGGCATTCAACACAATGCTCTTCTGTTTCACAATATTTAAGCCCTCGCGAACGTTCAACTCAGCCAGCTTCGAGGCCGCTTCACTAGTGGGCATTGACTGCAGAAGTTTAAGGTTGCGCTCACGCAACTGGCGAAGGGGGAACAGCCATGGGTCCAAAATACCCAGGTTCTTGTTGCCTAGGGCCGCCGCGACGCCACCACAAGCAGTGTGACCGCATACCACGACGTGGTTGACGCGCAGGTGTTGCACGGCGTATTCGATAACGGCAGAGGAACTGAGATCGCCGGGGTGGAGGACGTTGGCGATGTTGCGGTGCACGAAGACGTCACCGGGCTCGAGGCCCAGGAAGGTGGTTTCCGGACAACGAGAATCGGAGCATCCGATCCATAGAATCTGTGGTGTCTGTCCTGAGGCGAGGGTAGGGAAAAGCGAGGGGTGGTCGCGGGCTGTTTGTGCAGCCCATTCCTTGTTTAGGCGCAGACCTGCTGCATATCGATCTGTGGGATCCGCACCAGCAATGTCAGTCTGAGATTTGGGCTGAGGATTTATATCCAAGCTTGAGGGTGACGCTGCACTGGTGTTTTTGTGACTGGCGCAGGACACGGGTGTGGAGATTGAGAAGGGCTTGGTGTGAGGCACTGAGGGAGCGGTCATGCGCGTCGCTCGAGACTGAGTCGCGAGCAGAGAACCTGATGACGACCGAGAGATCCCTGCTGCACGCGCAATGAGACCGGATTGCCCGGTGAGTCTCACAACACCCATGGAGGAAAAAAAAAACAGGAGCAAGGTGTGTTATGACAAGGATGAGGGGCAAGGTCGACTACTGAGGGAGATCTGAGGATTATATGGATGATCAAGAAGACAATTGATCCCAACAACCGGTCCTTCTCACAGATCTCAGACAGTGTTGATCGGGTTGAATGGGAGATAGGAAAGAAAATGGGAAAAATTGATGGGGAAGCTGATTTGCCAAGAACACGCAAAAACACCGTCCGCTCACACACTTACCTTCAGGCATGATGAAATATTAAAAGTGGAGAAGAGATATAGGATGGAGGCAAGAAAGAGGATATTCTTGAGACTATATAAATCCCCAAGAGGTAAATAAAGACTCGGGGTAAACGGTAGTCCGACTGGTATGAAACCTTGGGGCAGATTGGCGAATCGGGCTTTTTCGATAGAAGTCGAACGAGAAGTCGAACGAGAAGTCGAACGATCGAACGACTAACTTACAGGGTTGTATATCTACAAGCCACGTATTTAATGCCTCAACTGAGTATATATTTTTCGGGGGAATTTGGGAATATAAATGCTTTTTAAAAATCAGAATAAGTACATGAATCTTTTGTTTAAATTTCAAGATGAACCGCCGCGGCCACCAACACTCAACAGAGTCTTCTTTTGTTCCTCACTGATCTGAGCAGCAGGTAGAGGACGGGCCCCAGCAACGGTCGGTGCGGGTAGGAAACCAGTTTGAACAAGATACGAGGCGTACAAGCCGACTAATTCCTCGGTCACGCCAGCACCAGCTGATGCGTCAACGCCCGACCAGGCCGCATCGGCCCGCAGAGCCGTCGCTGCGTTGGCATCATCCAATTCAGGAGCCTTAGTGTTGGATGGAAGGTCTGTGGTAACGAAGTGATAAAGGGGCATACTGAAAAAAAAAGGTTAGTATGTATCCATTGGCGGGCCGAGAAAAGTGTGGAACTTACAGAGCATGCTGAGATTCCTTGTCATTGTGAGCGCCATCGTTGACATACTGCTCCAGCGAAGTAGACCAAGGCACGTAGTCAACCTGAGGAACATTGTATCCATAGAGCTCTAGCGCACCAAGGAACTGGTTGAAACGCAAACGAGGGTGTCCAGTAACATGGGCAACGTTAACGCCTGTAGTCGGTGGGTGGAAGGCAGTTGCAATGACAATACGAGCCACATGATCAACAGGCACCATGTTCACGGTGTTGAAGATATTTGGGCGGAGGCCAATTTGAATGCATCCCTTGAGCATGCGAATGAGGAAATCATCAGTGTTGGTAGTTCCAGTGATCGAATCACCGAGAACATATCCGGAGCGAACAATGGTTCCCCTCAGGCCTCTGCGACCGGCCTCTTTGACAAGGTATTCTCCGGCCCATTTGCTTTGACCATAACCGGTTCCAAGACCAACTCTGCTACCCTCCATATCATCGTCTTCGCTGATACCATTTCCACCAGCGGCGATGATACGTTCGGATTCTTGGACGAAGTGATCCTTATCCAAAGCACTAGTCGAACTGACAAATGCAAACTGCTTGGCCTTTCCGCTGGCACACAGCTTGAGGGCATCGATGGTACCCATCACATTAGCCGGTCGAAGTGTCGCATAGGGGTAGACCCAGTGGACAAGAGCTCCGTTGTGGATCACAGCATCGACGCGGTTGGTAAGGTCGTCCCACACTGACTGGGAAAGACCAAACTGTGGTTTTCCAAGATCACCACAGACGGCTTGCAGCTTGTTGGTCCATGCTTCATCCCAGAAACCATATGCGCGGCAAGTAGAGCGAAGTCGCTCAAGTGCCTGCTCCTCGGTCTTCGCCCGAACCAGAGCTACCACCTTGGTGGAAGGCGCCTTACGGGTAAGCAGATCTCGGAGGATATGGGCACCTAGGAAACCAGTTGCTCCAGTAAGGAACACAGTGGGTTCACTAGTGAGCATAGCCTCGGTACGTTGAGGGAATGACTCAGGCAACTCATTTACAAGCTGGACGGCATCCTTCGAGTACTCATCGTCAGGCTCATTAGCGGCTTGCACAGCTAGAGTCTTGTCATCGCTAGTTGCGAATGATTCCATAGCCAACAAGCGGTCAATCTCGCTAGCAAAGCCCTTAAGGGTCGGGCTGCGGAAGATAGCATTCATGCTGATGTCAATGACACGCCACTTACGACGAAGCTCAAAGAACATTTGCTGTGCGAGGATACTATGGCCACCAAGATCAAAGAATGAGTCATCCGGTCCAATCATGCGAGATGTCACATTGGGAATGAGCTTAGCCCAGACTTGAGCCAGAGTCTGCTCGGTTTCAGAAAGGGCTTGCATTGCAGACGAGCGGCGGCGGGGTGCAGCGGCGCTCAGCTCTGCGGTGTCTGGGAATGGAAGTGCGGGCTTGTCGACCTTGCCGTTCGGGTTCAGAGGCATGCGCTTAAGAGGAATGATAACGGTCGGCACAGCGTATGTAGGGAGCTTACTCCGGAGATGCTCACGGGCGTCATCACGGAGAGGACGGAAGCGTCGCAACATACCAACCATACCCTCAGCAGAGTCAGATTCATCATCCTTAAGTCCCTTGCTCTCCAACCATGAGGCCCACTTGTTCATATCAGGTACAAAGTAGCTGACCAGCGTGGGTTCCTCGTCTTTATCTCTTCGCACCAAGGTCACATTCTCACGGACCAGAGGGTGCTGAGAGAGATGGGTGTCGATCTCTCCAAGCTCAATACGGAAACCACGAATCTTCACTTGGTCGTCGGCACGGCCAGAGCATTCGACATCTCCAGACGGTGTGTAACGGCCTAGATCACCACTGCGATAAAGGCGATCACGAGGGCCAACGTAGAATTCGCGCCAGGGCTCGTTCTTGGATTCAGCTCGGTCTTTTTCAGCCCAGACTTCGGGCTTAACGAACCAGTTAGTTAGGAACTTCTTCGCACTCAGATCCGGGGAACCGAGATATCCCTCTGCAAGACCTGCCGCGCGAACATAGATCTCTCCGACCTCTCCAACAGCACAAAGACGAGTGGGGTCATAGCGGTTAACAACCAGCATCTGCACATCCAACATTCCACGACCAGCCATAATCACGTCCTTCATATTGTTCAAGTAGCCCTCGTGACTGGCGTAGCTAGGGATTTCAAAGTAGCTGACAGCGCGCTGGGTCTCAGTTGTTCCGTACATGTTCACAATGCTGACATTAGGCGCAAGGCCTTGGAGTGAGCGGCAATCTCGCTTAATCAAAATGTCACCCACAAAGAATGCGTGGTGAAGAGCAGGGAATTGAGCAGAGGCACCACCGACAAGAATCTGACCCATAGCAGGCGTGAGGTGAGTGATAGTGGCACCGTACTTCTGCATCCATTCAGCAAGCTTTTCGTTTTGGATGTCCTCCCGAGCGGGCACCAAGAGTTGAGCACCCAAGAACAACGGGGTGAAAATGTCTCTCTGGATAGGGTCGTGAGCAATGCCACTCAGCATAGTAAACTTCTCATCTGGGGTGAGCTTGAAAGTCTCAGACATCCAAGGGAAATAGTAAGCCAGAGAGAAGTGTCGTCCACGAACACCCTTCGGCCGGCCTTCCGAGCCGGACGTGAAAGATAGAGTCGGAATAGAGTCAGGGCCCACGATGACACCAGTAGGCTTAGACTTCAGGGCAATCTCGTTGGTGAAGACATCCTGGCCATTGACGGATCCACCGATGAGAGTTCCATCATCGAGTAGGGCAAGCGCAGGAATTTCAGTGCGGAGCTCAAGATTCTTGTCGATGAAAGTACGTACGATGTCCGAAAGTTCACCTGAATCTTTTGTAGCCTTGGCAATGTTCACCAAAGCGCGGGGACGGGCAACATCAAGGTAGATATTCTGACGCTCAGGAGGATAAGCAGGGTCGATAACTGAGAACGTGGCACCAGCTTTCAAGATTCCCATGACAGCAACTACCAGGTCCACACCACGGTAGGCATAAACCATAACAACCTCTCCTCGCTGGATGCCAGATCGTACTAGATGATGGCCGAGGATATTGGAGGCCTCGTTGATTTGGCGATAGGTGAACTCGCGGTGAGGAGAGCTGCTCGATTGAGTTTCAACCACACACAGCTTTTCGGGGTGGCTTTCTGCATTGGCACTGAAAATGTCGTGGATTGCACCGCGGAATTTAGACCAGTTCAAATTAGAGGTTGGGTCAGGCAGGAGTGCGCGCTGATCTTCGGTCATCATATCGATACGTCCGATAGCCTCTTCCGGATTGATAGCAGCATTGCTAGCAATACTGGCTAGTTGCTTCAAAATGAAAGCAATACGAGCACTCGAGAACAGACGCTGGTTGTAGTATGCGCCCAATTCGACGTCAGCTGAACCCAGTGCAACATTAACCACCAAATCAGTAGTATCGAAGGTGTTTGCAGGGTAATCTTGTGAGGCAGCAGGGGCATCATATGCGGCGAATCGGAAGAGAACCGGGGTGCGTTCGGAATTGGACTTCTCCTGGATGTAGGAGCGAAGACTGCCCAACGGCACGATTTGGGAAGAACCCTCGTTATATGCCTGCAAGTCTTTTAGTATTAAGCCCTATAGCAAGAAGCATACATATATACCTTGTCTACTTTGTTATAGAGCTGGATGAAAGACTCCGAGGTATCAATGGGAACCCGGACGACGAATGCACGCCCATCCTCATTAGAGTTGGTGCCCACAGCGATGTCCTCATCACCAGTCAATCGTGCTACCAGAATAATATAGGCAGTCAAAAAAGCTGTGAAGCCAGATGGTGAGCCCGAAAGCTTCTCCTTGGGGAGTCGAAGAGACTCGAAAGCTTCAATGACTCTCTTGCTTTCGGGCTTTTGTGTATCGGGATAATCACGAGTCAATGGAGAGACAGTCAGGCTGTTCAGCCTTTGTGCCCATATCTCCAGGCGGTCCTGCAAAGAGGCCGTTCCTACAGCCATGATTGCAGTATGTTTAAAGAGTTGGAGAATGAAAGACGCGGTGACTCAATATTAAAATTACCCCC